CTTGATCTGATGGTCACTCCTCCATCTCCTCTTACCCCACAATTATCCGACCTTTCAGATTCTTCTTCCAGTGATGGATCTGACGGCTTCACTACCCATTACAACCGCCTTCATGATACCATCACAGCTCTTCGCGATGAGGTCACTAGGGCCCGTGTTCTTCATAAACCGGATGCACCTCCTATGCGAGCCCCCCAGATTCAGCTCCTTCATGACTTTGGGCACTCTCGGCACCACCTCTTCCGCAAGAAATTACGCGTTAATCCTGACATCTTCGATGATATCCTCGATCAAATTTCTGATCACCCTATTTTCACTAACCGGTCAAACAACCCTCAACTTCCCATTGCCATTCAACTGGCTATATTTCTCAACCGTGCTGGCCATTACGGCAACGCTATCTCACCAGATGATGTGGGCCAATGGGCTGGTGTCAGTGTTGGATCGGTAATCAATTGCAGTAACCGTGTGATGATTGCCCTCCTTGATCAGCATGACACATTCATTCATTTCCCTGCTCCTGACTCTGAGGATGCTGAGCGTGCTCGGCAATATGTTGAGGCCAAGTCTTGCCCAGAGTGGAGAAATGGTATCCTTGCAATTGATGGCTCCGCTATTAATTTGTATGAAAAACCTGGTCTTTATGGTGAGGCGTTTTATGACAGGAAGTCTAACTATTCCCTCAACTGTCAGGTATTTTCTCTCTCTTATTCTAACGGTTAGAAACTAATGAAAAATTCAGGCAATCATTATGCCCCATAATCTCCTCATTGCCGACTATTCACTTGGTCACCCTGGAAGTACACACGATGCTTATGCCTTCAAATCTACTCGTGTTTACCAGGAACACGACACACTTCTTCCTGATGACCATTGGATTTGGGCTGATAGTGCATATCCACTTGAGAAGTGGTGTATTCCACCTTTCAAGAAGCCTCGGAATGGCAGGTTGACAAGGGACCAGAAGACCTTCAATATTCACCTATCTAGGGTATCTTCTAATTTTTCTGCTGATTTTTTGGAATTTTTACTGATTTTCATTGATTTTAATTCATCTAGGTCCGTGTCCGCGTCGAGCACACATTTGCTGCTTTGAAGGGGCGTTTTCAGTCTCTTAAGGAGCTTCGTCACCCTATGCAGACCCAGAAAGACCTCCAGATTACTCTGCATTGGGTTAGGTGTTGCCTTATCCTTCACAATATGATCATCAAATTTGAAGAAAAACGCAACAAACCTACAACCAGATGGGCCATTCAAGAAGGGAAACATACTCTGCATCCAGAATATGAAGGACCAGATGGTAATGAAGTGGTGGGTGATAGCTCATATGCAGGCACTCCTGGTCAAGCACACAGGGCCAGGTTGATGGATCAATTGTTTGACAGTCCTCACTCAGATGCTCAGCATAGGCAAGGATAAGTTGAAACAGGTATAGCTTTGACATAAAAATGTACTACATACATGCTAGTAAGTAGGTTGTAGGATTATCAAATAGCGGCGAACAAATGACAACATGTAGCAAAAAGAAACGGCGAAAAAAAACATATGACGAAGTGCGTGCAGGAACATCATGGCTTGTTGATCTTGGCATATTCAATGCGCAAGAGCATCACCTGCCTCTCTAACTCGAGAGCCTTCGCATCCGCTTCCCGCAAACGAATCTCCTGGTCCTTGCTCTCCTGCAGCCGTTGATGGACGAGCGCGGCGTCCGCGCGCTCGTGGGCGCGCTCCTCGCGTATGAAATGGTGCTCCTTGTCTTGGCGATTGGCGTTGAGCTTGACCATCAGGCGCTCGTTCTTGAGCTGGTATAAGGTGAGCTTCTCGGAGTGCACTCTCTCTAAGTCGTCATTCAACATCTCAACTTGTTCCTGAACCTCCGTTCGGAGACGCTTCTTCACCGACTCCCTGCTGCTCGGTCTCTCGGAGAGCGACGTTTGGGACGTCGGAGACGCCTGCCGAGGGGAGGACGGATTGGACCGTTGCAACGAAGCCTTCGATGAAGAGGTGGGGGAAGAAGCGCTCTCGCGCATGATGACGTGATTGACGTGGGACTTGAATGAGCTGCGACTGTCGTGGTTGGAGGTGCGGGGAGGGGGTGCCTTGGGAGGCGACGGAGTGGGAGAGGAAGGTAGCTGCCGCTTCTTTCCGCGCGCCTTTTTCGATCTGGGCGGGCTGTCCAAATTATATACATTCTCCTCGTCACGATGAACTTCGTCTGTGTCGTCCATACAAAGGTCCCCCATACCATGAGCAAGGGGGCCATCATCGAAAGGTGGGTCATCATCAGATCCCAGGGGGGCCGGAGAATAATCTTCATGGCCGAATGACCGGCTACTGGGAGGAAGGGGCGTATGGCCGAAGTGGAGGGGGGAGCTTGTCGTGCTGCCTGCACAGTTGCTTGCAGGAGCTTGAGAAAAGCCCCGTTGTGGGGAGGAGCCAGCACCGCTGGCTCCCTGAGCGTATTGAGGGGAGTGGTTTGGTTCCAGGGGGGTAACAGGACCACTTCGGGGAAGAGGCACATAAGGCGTTTGCACAGGGGAGTCAGCTGAGCTGCCTCCAACACTTGGAGGAGGGCGGGCATAGTCCGTTTGTTGGACATGAGTGTTGTCACCTGCGCGTGAGGTAGAAGGACCCGAGGGACGAACCGTGTAATCGAGCTGCGGGGAACCAGCACTGCCTATGGCAGGGTTAGGGATGATTATGTTGAGTTGCGGATGGGTGCCTGAAGGAGGGTTCCGTGAACCTCCCGCAGGACGAGTTAGCGCGAATAGGTCACCGGCGTGGTCAGCACCTGGTTTCGATGAGCTCGTTTTGGCAGAAAACGAGGGGTTGGATCCCCATATCCGGTAGAGGTCATTGTACCATGGAAATTCTTTCTCGATTTTACCTACGAATTTTGTTAGCGGTATCGATAAGACATGAGTGGGATACTCACGATGTAAGTTGTCAGACGTCTCCGAGTCAATTGGCACGATGCCCGCACCTGTAGACTCGAATTCGGCACGAATATCGCGGAATTTAGTCCGTAGACTTCAGATCATCCAGTTAGCACAGTTGCGATAGACGGAGAAGTACTTACGATGCGATGCGATTGGCCACAGAGTCACGGAACTTGATGGGGTTGGTGGCATACCAACTCCCATATGTAGCATCGTCGTGAAAGATTACCTTTGCAATCACACTGTAGATCTCCCCTTTGTCCTTGCCTGATGCACGGCCCAAGTCAGCGTGATAGTTGCTGGACTTCTTACTCTCGGTCGCAAATAATATGGCACAGTCTGGCGGATGCTCGACGAGGAAATCGACGAGCTTGTTGGTGCGCATAGGGACGTTATGCCACGAAATCGTGGCTGGTGACGAGTCTTGTATATTACCCCCTCCCCCTCCCCTTCCCCGTCTCCCCCTTCCACGAGTTGGTGGGTCCATTTGTTTCCTGTTGTCCTTGCGACACGGTACGTTGATGTTTTGAGAGATGGTCTGCAGGCGTGCAGACCGACGAAGTCGTGGTCGTAGGGCAGGCATTACATTTAACACTCCGACGACATGCCGATGTTCGCCGTACTTGACTAACCCTGAACTTCAGCGAAACTCAAGATACTTTAGCCGACGTTTCACGGAGCTTACCGAGCTTACCGAGTTTTCAGGAAATTACTTTGAACGCCACTAGTGTAGAACATTAAATTACTAGTAATAGAAAATTGCAAGCATTGAAGTATCAATGCAAATCACCAACAGACCAAGCAGACTCCTCAAGTTCTGCAGTCAAATCACCATCCGGCAGATGAAGCAGACTCCTCAGGTATTAATTATATATATACAGAGTACATGTCGGGATATAAAACATCTGCCAGGCACCTAATCATGGAAGCAAAAAAATTCACAATGTTGGCGGCTGCATCCACACCCAGCTGGGAGCCTGCCCGAAAGTCCGAGATTTACAAAATTTACAAAATTTACAGTGTATTTCTCCTTCTCCTGCACTTTACTCACTTTACCCACTCAAAATCGCACTTTACAGTACTTTACATGTAATATGTCCTTACCCTCCTCTCCCTCCGACTCATCCTACACAGTTACCATAAATGGGTGGCTTAGGTGTCACAATCACGTGACTTCACCTTCCTCCGCTGTGCAACTCTTTAGTCCCTGCCATGTGCAATACCACAGGTGAACACCTCCAACAACATCAACACCTCTCCTGGAGAAGGTACTTTTTTTTATTTTTTATTTTATTCATTTGTGGTTCTCACTTGTACTTTACAGGGCCTCAGGACTTTATGCCAACAACAAACAGTGGATTGGTGACGCTGACCAGAACCAGGCCGCTACTATGTGTTACGGACTAGGATAGTTCGAGCTCTCCCTAGGCGGATTGCCTAATCTGATAGCGGGCTCGCTACTGGAGAGACGGGGATCTTCTCTCGTCTGAGAGGTTCGGGGGTTCCACTTAAGGTAGCGTCGGCTTTCCTTAAGGTGCGGCTTAGACTGAAGGACTGGGACTGTCTTTCAGAGGAAGTTCTGGATAAAACCTAGTAGAATCAAGTAGGGAATATACATGATTCTGTCTGCTCTATATACTGTCGTCCGTGTGCACAGACCAATACTACGTTCGGTAGGTAGGTATGAGTGTGTCTATACAAGGGCATCTTATCTGATGCCATGCGGTCGATTATCTATACATGAGGCTTACCATGCCTCTCTTATCTGTCCTCAAGGCGTAGCATGCCTTTGAGTCTAACTGCGCATGCTAAGGCATGCGGCTTCTCTTCTGACCATGAGGCAGAGCTTCCTCATGATCCGGGTCGAGGACCATCTAGGTCCGTTCAGATGTAGCCTAGGCTGGTCTAGGTCATCTAACAGCATCCAGGCCGTTTCTAGGCGTCTCTACGAGTCTCCGTTGAGTCGGTAAGTCTTCCAAGACGGTGCATATGGTGGGATAGGGGCTAAGGTCATGATGACCTCCGTAGGAGGGGTTCTCGGTTACATGTTATTGTAACACTATGAGCCCCCACAACGTGTAAGTTTTGACCTCTTTTTTCCATTTCTTGTGCTAACCATATCTTGGTAGTGTTTTTGATGCCAAGGTCCAGTCGGACATCAAGCACTTCCCCTTTGCTGTTTTCAACAAGGCTGGTAAGCCTTGCGTCCAAGTGGAGCAGGAGTTTTCTCCCAAGGAAATCTCGTCGATGGTTCTTCTTAAGATGAAGGAGACCGCTGAGTCCTACTTGGGCTACAATATCAGCAACACCGTTGTCACCGTCCCTGCCTACTTTGACGACTCTCAGAGACAGGCTACAAAAGACGCTGGTACCATCTCTGGAATGAACGTTCTTTGTATTGGTGATGCTGCCCCGAACCAGGCTGCTATGAGCCCCCACAAAATGTAAGTTTTGACCTCTTTCATTTCTTATGCTAACACATCTTGGTAGTATTTCTGATGCTGAGGTCCAGTCGGACGTCAAGCACTTCCCCTTCACTGTTTTCAACAAGGCTGGTAAGCCTTCCATCCGAGTGGAGCAGAAGGAGTTTTCTCCCAAGGAAATCTTGTCGATGGTTCTTCTTAAGATGAAGGAGACCGCTGAGTCCTACTTGGGCTACAATATCAGCGATGCCATTGTCACCATCCCTGCCTACTTTGACGACTCTCAGAGACAGGCTACAAAAGACGCTGGTACTATCTCTGGAATGAACGTCCTCCATATCATCAACCAGCCCACTGCTGCTGCCATCGCATATGGTCTCGACAAAAAGGTTATCGGTGAGGGCAACATCCTCATCTTCGATCTTGGAGGAGGAACCTTTGATGTGTCGCTCTTGACCATCGAGGAGGGTATATTCGAGGTGAAGACCACTGCTGGTAACACTCACTTGGGTGGTGAGGACTTTGGCAACCGACTCGTCAACCACTTCACACAAGGGTTCAAGCGCAAGCACAAGAAGGGTGAGTGATTTTCTTATGCTATCATCAGCCACCCAGACTTCCATCAAGATTGACTCCTACTTTAGTTCTCTCACTTACGCCCATTTCGAGAAGCTGTGCACGGACCTGTTATGCAGCACGCTCGAGCTGGTCAAGAAGGTCCTCCAGGACTCCAAAATTGACAAGGCGGAGTGCCAAGCAGTATGGTCTTGCTAACTCCGAGATATTCCAGCATACTCCCGACGTATTCCTCGTATCATTAAGCTCATGTCTAACTTCAGACTGCTGGTGGTCAGGTGACGACCAAATCTACCCCTTTCTATTCGCCCCCCTTTCAAGAAACTTTCGTTGTTGTCTACTACCATCACGACTCATCATGGGAATACACGGACTATGGGAGGTGAGCTGAGATTTTCTTGCTGTGGGCTGCGGGTACTGATGTTCATCACAGCGAGTCACTTTATCTGCTGAAAACCGAACTCTCAAGGAACTCGCAGTGTCAGAGCTGAAGACTGAAGACGTCGAAGGCGACCACAAGCTCCGATTATTCAAGATTGGGATTGATGCTAGGTATGATGCTTCTCTTCTTTTGTATGTTCATTGAACTCACTCATGCTGTTAGCCTGTGGATGCACAGCGTCTGCGCTGTCTTTCGGATCAATCATGCAGGAGCTGGAAAGTCGCCCGAATTGCGGACATTGTTCTTTCGACTGCAGACACTGCTGAAGCTGCCGCTGCATGCAGTCTTTGTCTTTGATGGCCTCGAGCGCTTGCCAGACAAAGGTCGCAAGGTTAGAAGCAGCCCCCACTGGCTCACCTGTGACTTCCAGCGCATGCTGGAGTTGTTTGGCTTTCACTGGACTGAAGTACGTTCTCTCCTCTTACGATGTCGCCATCTCATCAGTGCCATACCAGGCCCCAAGTGAAGCCGAAGCAGAGCTGGCTGCCATGAATGTACATGGTGTCATCGATGCTGTGATGACTGAGGACAGCGATATCTTGATCTTCGGAGCTCCATGCATCATTAGAAGGTATGCTGCCATTTTCCTGTTGATGTGCTGCCGTTGATTCTCGTCAGTGCGAAAAACGACAAAGACTATCTCAACATCCAGGTGTTCACGGAGGATGGCCTTGAACATGGCTGCTCATTAACCCGAGGAGACCGACTGCTAATTGCCCTGCTCGTAGGCGGTGATTATGATGGTGGTGTGCCTGGCTGTGGTATTGAAATCGCGCACAAGGTGGCACTGCACAGTAAAATCGGCCAGATGATGCTTGATGCCTTCCTCACAATGACGCCAGATGAATTCTCTGAGCGGGCTAAGGAGCTCGTTGAGGATCTCCGTACCCTACTTTCTACTAATCCTTACAATTCGCTTGAGCGCAGGTACAAGGCAGTTGCGGACCACATTCCTCAAGGTTTCCCTCAGCGTTCAGTAGTCAGCAAGTATGTTCACGCTTTCACATCTTTTTCGGCCGGTGCAGCTGCATTGCCCTGGGACATCTCGTTCTATCAACCAGATCTTGCGAATCTTGCGGACTTTTGCCGTCAGCATTTGGGCTGGGAGGATGATGTGATCATTGAGAAGATGTATGGGGGCATATGGGAGGGTACCTATCTACGTGCGCTATGCAAGGTAAGCAGCACTGTGCTCGTGTAGGCAGCCTCTAACACTTGTGTTTTAGTTGCCACAGCGCTCAACAGACCAGCCAAACCTTCAGCCGAAGCTCAAAGTCCTTTCTCAGTCGACGCTTATGGCTTTGAGGCATGACATCGACGTTTACAACATTAAGGTTGACTGTTGGCGCTTGGGGCGCAATACTCTGGGAAATGCAGCTACTCCTGGGCAGTTGTCTGCCATGTATATGCATGTTCCAAAGGTGATACTCCAGCACATGGTACCGGAAGTGGTACAGCAGTATATTAGTCTATAAATTGTTGGTATAGCATTAACACGAATCTTAATGTCATTTGTGCTCACTCTCGCACGCTGAACTGAGTGAAATGTGAGATGGCATTGAATATAAATTAGCTAGAGGCCCCTAACATGATCTCTGTCCTGAAAATCTAAACTAGCTTCATACCACACCACTCACTCGTTTTGCGCTCACAGAACATGACACGGCTAAAGAAAAATTCTACCGAAGACAAACAGCCACCAGACACCGTTCACAGGCGAAAGAAGAGATCGGCTGCCGAGAAGACAGCGTTAGCAGATGTACAGAGGTGTAAGGAACATGGTATCAAAACTCACCTCCAGGCAAGCAACACGAGGACGAACTATGCCGGGCATGTTCGTCGTGGACGGGAATGGCTGGCAAGCCACTTTGAAAGTTCTACTGTCAGTGAGACTCGGAGGGATGACATCTTTCAAGGCTCACTCGTTCCGCTGCTCACAACTGCTGAAATAACTGCCGACAATGACGTGTATGAGGACCTTGCATTCAAAGATGCATTTGAGAACGTACCGAACAGGTGCTCTGACAAAGCACTTGCGCTGTACATGTCCCTGAAAGGATTCCACGAGAACCTCAGCAAAACTACGGTTGAGAGCATCCGTTCAGCATTCAAGAAGATGTGGGAGTTATCGTGAGTACATACACGAACATGAGCACACAAGCACTGACCTATGTTTAGAGATGGCGATACCTATCGTGGCAAATGGCACTTCAACGAGGCGAAACAGCGCTGGGAAGGAAATCCCGCTGATTCTGCAGACATCTACGATGTGCTGTCGTCCATCAAGCATAAGGCAAGTGCAGAGGGTGGAGATCGGACTCACTCGATGGCGATGACGAAGGACTACATGGATCGGGCATTCCGATGGCACCAGGCTGCATGTCCGCTGGATATTGCCCTGCAGATGATTGAGAAGGTGATGAATGGCGCTCAGCCGTCAGATATTTGTCTAGACTTAGAAATGAGAACGAAACTCACCCGCCATCTCGAGCAAGTCACATTCGCATCAAACGGATGGACATTATGGACAAGGTGCGATCCTGCTCGTTTGTGGTCCATGCGCGATCTGACTTGCTATATTGGCAGGTGTTTTGAGCTTGTCAAACTGCAACGAAAGGACATCTCACTCGATACTACTGTTTTGGACGGTGTGCTCAAGACGTACCTTGCAAATGAGACGCTAACACTGAGTAAGTGCACGCCGTACTTTGAGATCTTTCTCGTGAACCGGAAGGGGTGGCAGAAAAAGGTAGACAAAGGCCAATGGGAGGCGGACTTAAGATGTGAGTTGCTTGTATCAAATTGGAGCTGATAGTGCGTGACTAAATGACCTTACCAGCAAATCATTACAAGATTTATCCACGGCCTGATGCACCAGCGTGCGACAGTTTCTTTTGGACGATGATTTGGATCAAATGGCTCGAATTATTCCATTATGGGCGCACCCTCCTGCCAAACGACTTCCTCTTTCCTGCCATGAGTGCAAATGGTGTTATGCATCCTGGACAGCCGATCTCCCACGATACTGTACAAAAATGGATCAACGAGTCTACTACTGGCGCTGGAATCCGTGGTAACTTTTCAACTCACTGCTTTCGTCGGGGGGGGGGGTGCACAATATTGGTTTATGTTCGCTCCAGTAGGTCAACGGTGGACACTTGCTAAAGTTCGTTGGTGGGGTGGATGGGCTGATGGCGAGCATGTACGTTTCTTGTGCTCACACCTGATGCTTCACTGACATGGCTGTTTTTTTTCTTGTCATGTTTATTTTCAGCGTGACACACTCGTTCGCTACCTTCTCGACGAACTACACTCATACGAAACCGACTATAGTGATGCCCTTTCCCCCATCTCTCGTGGCGCTGATGCCTCTCTTGCTGGTGAACATGCACTTACCAGACCAGCGTCCACAGAAGAGCTTCGCATGGTGCACGCATCTGTTGCGGCAGATGTCAACAGCCTGCGCAATGACATGCACTCCCTAACAAGTGTTGTAGTGCAGGCTGCCTGCAGCACAGCAATCGCCCTCCAACACCTCAATTCAAGCCACCGCTTTACCAGTGTCTCTGAGTGTGCCTCCCGCACAACGACTCCACCATATACCACTCAACCTGTCGGAGGAGCACCCACCACAGCCGAACAGCCACTCTCACCCAGACCCATTGTCAGTCCGATGCCTACCGTGGCCCTATCCACCTCCAGCACATCACGACGGCCCCGAGCCTCCACCACGGTGTCCAGTTCACAGAAACTCCCTACACCTGGCCTCGTGATCCCTCGGGTTCCAGTCGCTCATCCCAACGGCACTTCCAGCCCAAAGAACAAATCCTGGAAGGAAATTGTCGAGCACTGGCTTGTTGGCGATCAGGACCGAGGACTGACAACACCATTGAAGGATTGGCCAAGGGAGTGGTACCAAGGTGCCAATAGACGGTTCGCGTCAAAGTACCACCAAAGGGCGACCATCGCGCTGGAATTCATCAATCAGTAAGTCCCTGCTGGTATCCGCTATTCCAGTACTACTCACCTTCTGTTTTGCTTCCAGGTATGAGTCAAATGAGGCGCACTTCCTTGCAGCCTATCCAGAGGCTGAGCTCGGCCACACACAACTTCTGAAGGCCGTGAACAAGGCACTCGCTGCACGAGGGGACCGCGTCTCTCGCAACAAATGACACTTTGGCTGACAACTTCCTCGTTTCGCTTCTCAAGAAGAACATGACAAAATGTTTCGTCGCTGCATATCAAGAGCACGATGGGCAAACCCATTCATCTATTCTAAGCTGTAGTAGGGTGCATAGGGTTGGATCTAGGTGAGAGCTTGATGAGAGCCAATGAGGCTTACCACTCGCTGCCGTCTGTAGTTGATTATAATGTCCACTACCTTACTCGCTGTTGTTAATCACGAGCGCTGTGCCACCTGTACCTGTAGGTTTGATGTATCACTTCTTACAATTGTAGATGAAATGTGATACAATAATTACTGAAGTCCATAGATACCTATCATTGTAGGGCTGATATATCAATGGAGGATCCTGTCAGGACACTCCCATAATAATCTCACACCCCTAATTTTCGCATTTTTGACCACCTACTGTGGGAATTTCCCCACAACACTTAAAAATAGATTGCTTCTCCACATTTTCGCATTTTTAGCCACCCCACTACACCTAAAACATCACCCATTTTAGGAATCTCCACAATATCAATTATTCCCACACCCTCCCCACCTCACTGCAGCTTCACCACCACACCACAATAGGTCCCCTCTTGTATTTAAGTAGTAGTTTGGTATATATATGTACAATATAATGTAATAGACCACTTTTTTTGCTTATTTGTGTGCCTGCTCCTCCTCTAGAGGCCATTTAACATATGTTAGAGTAAAGAACACTTTCGCACTTTTGCCCCTTTGGTGAGAAAGTGTTCTATTATATTCAAAACATGTTTATGAGCATATATGAGTATATTCCCATCTTTATTTGACCCCCTGAAGCGCCCTACATCAATAGATATAGCACATATGCAAGAAAACACAGAATATGTTCCTATTTAATTATTTCTAGGTGGACAGACTTGGAAAAATGATTCCCAGTATCTATTCAACAATATGAACAATGTATCAGGAGCCCAGGACCATGGGATAATTCCCTGTTGCATGGTGTGCCCCCCCTCTCCTGGTGATTTACCCCCTGTGAAAAATTTTCCTGCAGGACCGGACCTTAATTGAGGTGAGGGGTCTATTTCTATGTATATTTGGAGTAGATCTATCATATAGCTGGCCCAGAACACACATAGGATCCTGCTACAAGAACAAAAACATAGAAAATCTCACTTTTGACACTTTTGATGTTTTTTAGTATCTTACTCTTGCATAAATAACCATCCCTGCTCACATATTATCAGTAGTACATTCACACATATGTTCTATGCCAAGGATCAGCCCTACATAGGGCACAAATTTGATATCTGATGTACAGGAGGTATTTCTACTGATAAGGAGCCCATACTTTCAAAACGTCGAAATTTAATAATCAGACACTTGGAGTAGATTTAAAGTACATTCACTATCATATACCTAAATTTACAAAACAATCCAACAAGAATTGAGTGCTGAGGAAGTGAAATAGATAAGAAATTGAGTGTGGGAAAGTTCAAAGACTCAAAACATCGAAAATGGTCAGTTGGGCAGCAGTAGGACTTTAATGCTGGGTCAACTCAAATATACATCACATTCCTTCCATCACCCTCTAACCTCAGGGCAGTATGTAGCATAGGTTCATTTAGTAGTCTATCATATATCCTACATATTTTTAATGAAATATTTGCCCTGTACCATATATAAATGTGACTTTGTGTCAAAAGATGTCAATTGTCACTTTTCACACATATGTCATTTTACTTGTCATTCAGTCAGTCCTTCACTGATCTTTCTAAAACTTCAATTCCATCATTAGGGACATATATAAGAGGTATCCCAGGTATCTGATCACTTATCACAGGCTGGATTACTCTGTAGGTTTCCTATCAGTAGAAATACCTCCTGTACATCAGATATCAAATTTGTGCCCTATGTAGGGCTGATCCTTGGCATAGAACATATGTGTGAATGTACTACTGATAATATGTGAGCAGGGATGGTTATTTATGCAAGAGTAAGATACTAAAAAACATCAAAAGTGTCAAAAGTGAGATTTTCTATGTTTTTGTTCTTGTAGCAGGATCCTATGTGTGTTCTGGGCCAGCTATATGATAGATCTACTCCAAATATACATAGAAATAGACCCCTCACCTCAATTAAGGTCCGGTCCTGCAGGAAAATTTTTCACAGGGGGTAAATCACCAGGAGAGGGGGGGCACACCATGCAACAGGGAATTATCCCATGGTCCTGGGCTCCTGATACATTGTTCATATTGTTGAATAGATACTGGGAATCATTTTTCCAAGTCTGTCCACCTAGAAATAATTAAATAGGAACATATTCTGTGTTTTCTTGCATATGTGCTATATCTATTGATGTAGGGCGCTTCAGGGGGTCAAATAAAGATGGGAATATACTCATATATGCTCATAAACATGTTTTGAATATAATAGAACACTTTCTCACCAAAGGGGCAAAAGTGCGAAAGTGTTCTTTACTCTAACATATGTTAAATGGCCTCTAGAGGAGGAGCAGGCACACAAATAAGCAAAAAAAGTGGTCTATTACATTATATTGTACATATATATACCAAACTACTACTTAAATACAAGAGGGGACCTATTGTGGTGTGGTGGTGAAGCTGCAGTGAGGTGGGGAGGGTGTGGGAATAATTGATATTGTGGAGATTCCTAAAATGGGTGATGTTTTAGGTGTAGTGGGGTGGCTAAAAATGCGAAAATGTGGAGAAGCAATCTATTTTTAAGTGTTGTGGGGAAATTCCCACAGTAGGTGGTCAAAAATGCGAAAATTAGGGGTGTGAGATTATTATGGGAGTGTCCTGACAGGATCTAAGAAGTAAAGTGCGACGGTTTCGGGAGGAGTCGTGCGCTCGCGTGGTTTGCGCCTATTTCGCGTATTTCGTTTATTTCGTTTATCTCGCCTATTTCGCCAAAGGCCATGTGGTTTGCGCTTAGCTCGCTTAACCTCAATTTGGCAACTCGCGTGGTTTTGTCACGTGTTTTCGAGCGCCGACTCAAATAGTGTCGCCCTTTGGGAACTTAACACGACCTTGGTAACTGTATATGTACATTGCATTAAATAATGAAAAAAGATGTGTTTGAGCAGGGCAAGGCAGATATGTGATTAGATCTGAGTTTTGTCCCTACTGTAATTGTTATGATAGTATTTGTATACATACAGCAAATAATGGAACAACATATAATACAAAATTACAGATGGGGAAAACAAATATGAAATAAAAGAGATTGGGAGATGAATGACAGAAGGTTATGAAAAAATAACAAAAGGTAGAAAAAGACCACTTAGAGACTCAAAAACTGGAGAATGGGAGGAATGGGAAACTGGGAACGGGAGACGGGAGACGGGAGACGGGAGACGGGAGACGGGAGACGGGAGACGGGAGACGGGAGACGGGAGACGGGAGACGGGAGACGGGAGACGGGAGACGGGAGACGGGAGACGGGAGACGGGAGACGGGAGACGGGAGACGGGAGACGGGAGACGGGAGACGGGAGACGGGAGACGGGAGACGGGAGACGGGAGACGGGAGACGGGAGACGGGAGACGGGAGACGGGAGACGGGAGACGGGAGGCACGGAAAAATGGGAAAATGAATACATTCAATGATACTGTTACATATTTTTTGTAATTTTACTTCTGTCAAACTCCTGCTCAAAGAATGTAGAATTGACTGATCTTATGTACTACTTTTAGTTTTTTTGAAATGCTGCTCATAAATGTATTTTCAAAATCCACTATCAGGGCATATTCAAAATACACAATTTATTAGGATGCAGCCTGAGGCCAGGAAGCCAAAGGAGGGCACAGCCCTCCTTGGCTTCCTGTGACGAAGGAACAACACTCATCAGGAGCCTTCAGAATTATTGGGATGAAGCTGAGGCCAGGAAGCTAAAAAAAGAGTGCGAAGCACTCTTTTTTGCTTCCTGTGCCGAAGGCAGAACGGGTGTGGACTAGTCCTCCATTGATATATCAGCCCTACAATGATAGGTATCTATGGACTTCAGTAATTATTGTATCACATTTCATCTACAATTGTAGGTATTTAATGTATCATTCTTACAGTATGGCCTGGCTGTGCTCCTTTTTGCGCTCTGTTTTTCAGTCAGAACTCACGCCGTCACACGAATCTGGTCATGTGCCAGCGAGGTCAGCGAATCCCGCCTCGAAAAGGTAATCGATTGGTGTCACGTGCCCTCGCGTGGCTTTTTGGCTGAGCGCCACCGTAAATTTCTCGACATAATCGTAATTTTCCCCAGTTATGTAAACAGTATTTCGACAAACTAGAACATGCTAGTACACGCGTCATAGTTCTCCATCCAGTAGGAACGTCCATAGCGCATCTGGTCTCTTGTAGTCATGATGCACAATGCTCACTAGCCACCGCTCCCTGCGAACAGAATTCAATAGCTCTCTTTCCTCGGACCCTGGTGGGTAGAAAGAGGCCCACTCAGCCCAGATAGAGAATGCTTCATCCTACATTCGTATTGTCAGTACAAATATGGGCAGAATGAGTCTGAAGACAACGCATACCTTCCACGTCAGGAAAGATTCGCGCTCGATTATGGTCGTCTGGGTGATTTCTTGCCCGGGAAACATACCCCAAGTGACTGCATTCCTGCCGTCGTCGGGTACATTACTTCTACATTCTCCCTGTACTCGCATTAGTCCACAAAACTGGTGCAATATTTAAGGGAATACTCACTTGCAGATTTCCGGCGAAATAGTGCACCCAACCTTGCCCCTTTTCCTTGATCTTTTTCTCGATCTTCTCTAGATCTTGCTTTTCCACGAAAAACTCCACAAACCCTTTTTGATAAACATACCCACCTCTCGGACCCCACCCGAAAATTTCATCAGTAGAGCACGCTCCGTCTACTGCGGGTTGCGAGGAAATCGTCCACCACCCGCGCTTCGTGAGCTGCTCGAGGTGGGGCAGGATAGTCAGCGACTCTGGAGAAAGTGGTAAGGAAGAAAATGGGGACGATGACACCTCAGAATGAAGGTAGCGCAAAATGAGCGAAGTAAGGTCATCAGTACTTTTGGGATGGCCCCATTCACTAAGACCTTCATACTGCTGCAAAAATCTGTCAGCACGGTGGTTAGGCTGGGCAGAAAGACAAGTCGCACAGACAGGCCACTACCACCCCACTGATCTTGAGCACCGAACGCAGGGCTCTTGTAGTCACCAAAACGACCGTTCGGGAAATCGTCCCATGTTGCTGCATTATTCAGCTCCCCTCGGCCGGGATCTGGGTCCGAAGTTTGCTTAGACGTCAGCGCACTTGTTGCTGTGTTTGTTGCTGTGGTGGGATCGATGACCAAATCGGAAGAGTTAGTGAGCTGCACATGAATCATCGGTCCTGGAGCATCCTGAGTTACAATCAGCGACTTGACCTCGACCATAGATTAACGAGACTTACAGCGATCAATTTATTCTTCGTTGTTGGGCTGCTGCCTGCCCACTGCAGTTTCTCTATCACAAGTTGGACACTCTTCTCCAGGTTTAGAGTGCAAAAGTGAATTCCCTTGATTGTTCCTGTGGAGGTAATCTTCCGAATGATGTCAACAGCAAGGCCTACACCATAGTCCTTGACAAGCTGGTCATCATGCTGTCCTCTGATTAAAAGGGCAATGGCATATGATTGGAGTACTTACACAAATAGGCTCCAAAGCAGCCATGACGGATGGGGGAACCTTGACTCCGCATAGCTTGATCAAGCGCAAAAAGGAAGAATACGTTTGGATAGGCATGACACCGGGTATGATGGGTACAGTGATGCCTGCGATCCGATCAGAAGGACATGGTCGACACCGTAAGTTGCTACTAACCTTTTGCTCTAACTTTGTCAACCCATTCGAGAAACGGGTCTGCGTCATAGAATAGTTGCGTGACGATAAAATCTGCTCCAGCATCAACCTTCTCTTTCAGGACATTTAAGCTACCGTCTTCGTCAGTCTCGCGGTCTGGGTGACCTTCTGGGTAGGCTATTATTACACGTATATCAGTCACATAAGGAGTTCAAAGCTAAGGGCCCCTACCTGCAACGCCAATACAAAAGTGGGAGGAAAACTCCGGAGATGAACGGATGTACTTCACAAGATCAATTCCGCGAGTAAATTGAGAGTCGACGGGTGTCCAATGTTCGGTTCCTCGAGACGGATCTTACGTAGTAAAAATATCAGCGGCACGAACAACGTCTCTGACGAGAATCATGGTGCTCACCACCACGTAGCGCCAGCACATTCTGTATACCCCGCACTTTTGCCGCCTGTTAAGGCGGTGTTCACCGTAGCCCGGAGATTCGTGGGAAGGAGCTCACCCTGAGAGCATCATCCACCATCCCTGGGAGCATATTTGTGCATGTCAAGTGCAAAACGGTGTCGATTCCATATTCTGATTGAGTCAGACCTGCAAGATCAATGCTTCGTTCTCTCGTCGAACCTCCAGCTCCCCATGTTACACTTATTGCAAGGGGATTTAAAACTGACAGGCGAGATATACGTGGAATTAAATTCTCGAACCCCTGATATAGATTTTGAAGGATGAGAATAATAAGGAAACATCACACACGAACCTGGTCAGTCCGAGGAGGAAAGAACTCAAAGGTGTAGAAAGGACGCGACGAGTTGTATGTCGCGATCTTGTCTGAAAGTTTCATTGCATGTCCTATTCAAAATCAGGTTGGGTTGGTTCAACTTGGTTGCAGGCCCCAGGGTCTCGAGGTTGATGGAGTGATTCAGAAGATTTCTGTGTAGAATATCACGTGGATTACATACAACTGGCAGTAATAACAGAGCAAACACGGATAAACACACTGCCATGACAGAGCTCAACCGAACCGACTTTCACATTCAGAGGTCTTTAGCAGGCACTTGGCAAACCAATCGCCTTGTTTTATCACTGTTGTACACGGTTTAGGCATAAGGCCAAGATTGTACTCCACAAATGGACGCTCCATCAACACCCGCAACCGCCGACTTCTCCTCGACGCCCCCGAAACGCACCAAGATCGTCCTTCTTGGCGACCAGAGCGTCGGGAAGACCAGTCTCATCACCAGGTCAGTTGGGGTGGATTCTGGGCCCGTTGCCTATTTTGACATAGGCGTAGATTCATGTACGATACGTTTGACAACACCTACCAGGCCACCATCGGTATTGACTTCCTGAGCAAGACTATGTACCTGGAGGACCGGACGGTGCGGTTACAATTGTGGGACACTGCCGGACAGGTGCGTGTGACGTGCGGTAGTTGGTTGTGTTGGTAGTTATTGGCTGATCTGTATCACTTCAGGAGCGCTTCCGTTCACTAATACCATCGTACATCCGAGATTCGTCCGTAGCTATAGTCGTGTATGATATCACTAGTGAGTGAGTTCAGTTCACAAAAGTGTGACAGGTGCTCAATGGTGGAAAGATCGACAATCCTTCCTTTCAACGTCAAAATGGATAGACGACGTTCGGTCAGAACGGGGGAACGATGTCATTATTGTACTCGTCGGCAACAAGGCCGATCTGTCGGAGAAACGGTTTGTCCTCTCGTCTGTAATATGAAGTCGTCTGACACAGCAATCAGCCAAGTCACTGTAGAAGAGGCAACTGCAAAATCCACACAAATGAACATCATGTTCATGGAAACGTCAGCGAAAGCTGGACACAATGTAAAGAGCTTGTTCAAGAAGATTGCTCTATCATTACCTGGGATGGAGAAAGAAGGCCAAGCAGATGCTCAGAATACAAGTATGTTTTTCACGCCGTATCGCTGATTAAGGAATTGACCTTTCATTGTAGAAATCGATGTTACGACACAGCAGGCTGCCGCCGTACCAGAGGCATCACAGTGCAATTGCTGATTCAGTGTTTTCCATGTAATGATACGTACTACCCCCTCATGATACCTGATTTGCTTGCCCGTGTTGCAACGAGTGCGTTCTACTGCCCCTCCTCGTCGCATTACAGATCATTTGTGACACAATGCAACGAACTCTCTTTTCTCACCGTTAACCCCCTCAACCACGATTCATCGTGTTTCCCGCTCCACGCGGATTTGCATCCTTGAACTGTGCCCACTGTTCGTCTTTCTGGCGTTTCTCTTCCAATTTCGTCTCACCAAAGATTGTACCGTCCGTTTCGGAGTCCATCGTCAGTTGTTCTGAAGACGTTGGCTGTTCCTCCGATTGTGGGCTGCGCAGATTAATTAGTGTGTCTAAGTAACTGAAATGGCGAGAACTTACCCTCCCCCTGTGAGTATGTTCCCGCGTTCTTGTTCAATTCTGAGGTACTCGTCGATACTCATCGTTGGAAGTCGGTGATCAGGTCCAAAGACCTGCGATTGCAGACGTATGCGATCTGATCCGCCTGCAGGAAGGATGGTAAATGGCCTCAGGGGCTATCACGACGATCAACTTCATTTGGTGGTGGGAATGTAATGCTTTGGTACCTTCCCGCTAGAGTCAAGTAATGGTCCGCTCTCACCGACGGAAGATTTTGTGTCCAGTTTCCACATGTCATCCTGGTCCTTCAGTTTATTTTTTCTGTCGTCTGAGGGTGGACCTGGCCTGGGAGGAGGTGGGGCGATACGCAGGAGTTCAAGCTCCTGATCCATACTCTCGAGCTGAGAGTATGCTTGGGAATAGTTTAATCGTAGTAGTAGTAATACTGCTTCCCGAAGGATCTCATCTGTCTCTGAATCATCCTCCTCGTCCTCGTCGCTCGCTTGAGCAGTAACGGTTGACGGGAGTAATGACCGAATAAGATCAAAATCACTTTGGGACAGGTCTCCGATGGGTATCTGCTTCCGTCGTTTTCGTACAGCTTCGATTCGCGCACGCAAGTCCTTCTCTGCCTTGAACTGCTTGATCTTGACTTCTCGCCGTTTAGCCGCGTCCTTGATGGAAGATGCGCTCTGTGCGTACAGCGCACGATCCACCTCAGGTACTAAGCAATAGTTATCCAAATCATGGATGAATGATCTCAGATGGACCTGATCACAGCTTAAGACCTTTTGATTGATCAACTGAAATAGAGAATTCACCTGTGTCTTCTTGAGAACAGTTATGCGCTCGTCCCTATCTGTCGTCTTCATGCGATTCTGCACCTCAGCCAGAACATATCGTGCAAACAAGTAAACCAAATTCCTGGTGGATATGTCCTCAAGAACGTCATTGGAACTGAACAGTGAAAGGGCTGCGACACGCCGGTCCAGCTCCTTGAGATCAGTTACGGCTGATTGGATTAGTTCCTTTGTAGTATTGTCATATAAACGAGATACAGCATGTGGTCCAAGATGAAAATGCACCTGTGTTTCATCTTCGATAGTGGGTAGATTTGCGGCCTTTGAGGCTGTTGCAAGCGCCCTGGAGAATAGAGTTGGTAAGGGAAGTGTGCTGGTCATGGTGAGGGTTTCCTGGGGTCCTGCCAGGATCGATCTAACTCTATATATTGAAAGTGCCTGGGGGTCAACCCGCGTTACATCGCGTCGTAGTACATTTCCGAAGTCAGTTACAATTTCTTCATCTCTCAGCTTTATCAACTTAACAGTTCTTCTCTGTGCACACGTTGTTCACATTCAAACGCAGTCATGAAAAGAACATCTGTGGAAGAAGGATCCCCTCCAAAAAGATCTCGCCTGGAGGACAACCTCGCGCTATTCGATGAAACACGTCGAAAGAATGCAACTGACCTTCTCGACCCCGCGACAGATGAAACCAACAATATTGAAGCCAAAATTCACATGGTTTTTCCCTGCATCGGTAACAAACGCCAGGTGAATGTCGAGATGTGTGAACACGGCGACACCTACCGCTTTCTCGTTCTCATTTCGTCCAAAGTCGACGAATTAATGCCCTTCCCATTCGCTGTCAATGACAGAATCTGCCTTTCTCTTAAGGGTGCACAGATTCAGCCAAGGACACAGTCTTCTGCACCTTTCTATCTGCCCGTCAGGCTCGTATTCAAAGATGGGATCGCAGCCATGCTCATGTCAGGACCCGAAATTGGGAAGGTATTCAGTACTTGGGAAGGTGATTTTTTATGCTGTTTTACGTTTACAGAAGTAATTTGTGCTGATGCATTCTTAGTGGACTGGTATAGCGCTACCGGCGACATTCCGCGTGTCGGGGACATTGTCCCGCAACATTCCACAGAAGACGTGGAAATGTCAAACACAGATCCCCCATCTAAAAGCCCGCAGTCGGAAATCGTTGCTAATCAGAAAGCGCGAGAAGAACCAACGCCTGTTCCTGCGTCCCGTCAGCATCTCGATTCGCGAGCTGCGAATCTTCCTCAACCTGGCGAGCAGTCACCAGAAATGGATTTACCAAGAGGGCAAAGACGCAGGCGGAAAAAGCAAGCACAGAAGTCATCCGCTCTCAAGGCCAAACGTAAATCGGACGGGCATGAGATAGCGATACCACAAGCAGAGGCGATCGTTCCGCGACCACCATCATCGCCCCCCACCGATGTACGGTCACCACCACAAGTATCCTCTAACGAGCGCACGAGCTCGAGTTCTGGAAAGACCAGTTCGTCGTCCGAGAGGATAGCACCAGTGCCGGTGACCGTACCCTCACCGCCTCCTGCAAACGGTCCTGCACGTAATCATGAACCGCTGGCTATGAAGGCTGGAATGACTACGCAAGGGGTGAGTTTCGTATCTTTAGACAAGTTCAGCACGAGTTCATTCGAAATCTGTCTGTAGGGAGATGTGTTCATGCCAATCAAGAAGATTGAGCCGGGACCGGGATTCTTCAACATCATTGGTGTAGTTACGTCAATCAAGCCCACGACATTCACTCGCTCAGAAGGTAGGATTCCCTCAGCATTTATTGTTGGTTCTTTGCTCATCGTAGTACCAGAGTGGTGCCGTAATTTCACCATCGTCGACCCTTCCTGCATGGAAGACAATATAGAATTCGTGACTTATAGCTTCAGGGTCAATTGTTTCCAGAAGAAGCACACGGCGTGGCTCCCTCAGGCTGAAGTTGGCGATATAGTCCTCTTTCGGAGGCTTAAGGTATCGATCAATCCCCTGTACTGATTTCACTCACTCACGATATTTGATCAGACCTCCCCGTATAGTGGCGGCTTCAATGGCGTAGGGTACCATGATAAGTTGCGCTGGGCCACCTATGATACCCAAGCCCGGCGTTTCCGCGTTCCTGACAGAATTGACGCCCCGCATTCTGGGACACCAGACGAAGGATCTGGATACATGTACTCACCTTACTACGAGCCGAGTGAGCAAGGCAAAGAAGCGCAGTACTGCGCTCAGCTTGCCGACTGGTGGCAGACGATACATGCCAAAGAACGAGGTATCACAACCGTGCAGTGCGTCTCACGCCCTTCGCGAGAGCATCATCTCATCTCTGAGGTCACCCCGGAGACTTCTCCTCAAGGTTATTTCGATTGCACCGTCGAAGTGAGTTTACAGACAACTTTCCGTAAATGTGGAGCTTACAAAAGTCTAGGTTTTGCACAGCTATGAAAACACCAGTGGACCCAACACCTTGTATGTGACTGACTACACCATAAACCCTCACGCCAAACCACCACAAGCAAACTGGTGCTCTCCGGAACTGTCAGCATACGTTTTCAAGATAGAGATGTGGGATAGCGCGAGGCTCCTCGCAAATACAATGCAGCCCGGGGAATTCTGGAGCCTCCCAAACGCACGCGTGAGGACAGACTCCGATAATCATCTCCACAGTAAATTGGTGGAAACACACAAGTCAAAAAAGCTTGATGAGGCCGAACATGGCAAAAACTTGCATTTTCGCGCATTGCTAGAGTGAGTGGTGCTGTCGGCTGGTCAATCATATCATTTACCGTATGTTCTCCAGGCGGAAAAAGAAGTTTGAGCAAGGGGGAGGGGTGTCCAGCTCTTCTGCACGGTTTGACACTAAGTTGATTGAAGATGTTGACGGAGAGGTCGCGTTCTTCCACTGCACTGTTGAGGTGGGTCAGATAAACACTTCGTCTTTCACTTCATAACACGTTCTACAGCTTCTTCATGTTGATCTTGCCCCTGGGGAAGAGCCGGTTGTTTATGTGACAGATTACACATTCAATCCCAACCTCTTCAACCCAGCAGAGTCGGCACCCTGGGCACTTGGTCTCGACCGCCGGATTGTCAAGATTGTCCTGGAGGGTGGGCAGAAAGGGAGAGCACGCGACCTTCAGCCAGGCACGACGTATAGAATCAAGAATCTGCGATTGATTAACAGGATAGGTGTTAAGGGTGACTTTGGGCGTCTAGGGGGCGACGAACGACTGATCATTGCAGCCGATGACCGCAAGAAGGAGGACGTACAAGCTCTTCTTCAGTACGTGTTAGCGGAACTGTTGACATTTTACTTGTCGCTGATACTCCTACAACAGACGCAAGGAGAAGTGGAAGTTAGAAATGAAACGAGACGGGGTGTCCGTCGAACCAGCGGCCAATTCCGCCACAACATCACGCCCTCGTACTCCCGAGACATTCCAGGATCTCACTCTGAAACAAGTTATCGCCAGCACCGTCCGTCCCAACACATTCACGGTCGTTGCGCGGGTGACCGATTTTTATCCCTTCGATTTGGATCAAGCCACGTACCTGCGGTGCATGAAGTGCAATACCAAGTCAGCTTAAGCCGATTCTTTCCCTAGGCGACGCTAATGTGTTCTATAGGATACGGCGGCCCTGGAAACGCTGTATCGACTGCGATGACATGCTCGATACTCATTGCAAATGGCTTTACAGCCTGCTTTTCCAATTGGAAGATGATGAAAAAAACACAATTACGGTTTCTCCCAGCAACGAATCTGTAAGTTTCTTATTTCATTTTGCACATTCTGTCAAGCTCTGAGCGGCTGCAAAGTCTACACTTCTGTTTGGACTGCCCGCTACCGACTTGGAAACAGATAAAGATGCTCTCGATCGACTTGTAGCTCGCCTACAACCCGTTATCGGCAACCTCGGGCAAAGGCATGACATGTATGCGGAGTCGAAGGTCCTGCCAGTCGTTTCCCCCAAAATGCGTTTCACCGTCAAGAGTTGGATCGCGAAAAGTGAGCGATGGTATAGGCTTCTAGATTGTACTCCACTTTGATCTTTCCTCGGACAAGTGGACTCCCTGATTGAGCTCGTAAAATATGTGTAATCCGTCAATAATCTGTATTCTGTATGGCGCAGCTAATTTTTCTACGTCCTCGAGTATCTTGTAATGCGACCAACTCTCAGTGCCTGCTCTTTATGTACTTTGTAACAGGGAATTGCCTTGATAGGATGTCAGCGAGCAATATCACGATGTCACGACACCCTAGCTTCTAGAATTTGTTTCGGTTTATTGGTTTTCGATCTTCGAATGAGCTATGAATGGCATTTATAATGTTGCTTGACACAGACTGCCTACATTGTCGACGGGGTCTAACTTCCTATAACTTGTTGTCACATAGAACGAGCGTAGACGTGCGCCGGAGGTATTATAAGACTAAGCATCGAACGGAACGCGAATCGAACTTCGAAGGTGAAATAAGTAGTACCCGCTCGGTGGTCATGGGGCGCAGACTCGCATTGATACAAAAATTCCGGGACTGATTCATCTAACGAGCACAGAGTTTTCGATACGGTTGGTCTCGGATGAGGTGCACTCCATTCGATCCAGCATAGGACCATGACTGAGTGTTTGATTTCTTTGCCATGTATGTGGAGATCTCTGCAGTTACAGATTCCAAAGCGGCGAAAATGAAGTATTTATTAGTCCCCGCTCAAACTAGGTGTAGACGTCAAGTAATTGAGGAAAGTGCATGAAAACACAAACGTCAAGATGAGTCAAGTCATTCCAGATGCACGCCAGGATACCTCGTTGACGAGAAACTAGTCTATGGTGTCGATCAGGAGATGGCTGAAAAGGCGTCCAGAAGGATTGCACTCAAGAACAGTGAAGAACTGACACTGATCGTGACAGTCTGATATAACAGCGCTTAGCATTGATCGCCGAAAGCAAAACACACCGCGAGTCCGATATTTTCCCTATCGAGGACTCGCAATGGGGAGGAAAACTTGAGTCAATTCACGAAAGTATCGTAGAGACGCAGAAAACCTCGCTTCCTCGGAGGATAGAGTAGGCAAACTAGCCTGAGCTAACCATGCCAGTAAACTGAGGCGGTGAGCAAGGAGACCCGCATATCGAGTCTACAACGAGGCAGACAATCGCAGGCTGATAGAGATACTTGATCACCGCTCACCACAGCGCGTTTAAGTTAATAAGTGTCTCTCCTCTCAATGCTCCTGCTAACTGAGGGCGAGCCGACCTAGCAGAACAAGTTTTAACCACTCAAGAAGATAAAGCATTCCAAGAAGCTCACCCAGCTCGCACGAAAGCCTGAGGAAATACCATATATCGAACTGACTCTCAAGAATTTGCTACGTCGGGCAATATCTGGAAAGTCGAACGAGTTAGTTATTTTTCTGCGGTTACTGAACAGAAAATGTCGCCTGCGGAGGAGAGAAAGTGAAACGAGCTGCTGCGGGTACTAGGTATACGAGTGCTTCAAGTTGGGAGGGGCGGCGTGAGTGAATCTATTATTAGACTCACGCTGGGCTTATTTCAAATTGTCACATGATCATAGAAGGGGAAGACATATACTTTGTAAACATGGTACTAAGTATGTGCCGACACAACTCGAACTGGAAAAAGGACGCATCGAATATAGGTACACTGAGAGCAACTGCGGCACGAGAAGAATACCTAGGAGACTGATTGGCAGTGGCCCAAGCCTTTCACTGTCACATACACATTACTCTCCCATTCGTAAAGCAGCACCCACGAGTCCTGAATGAACATGAGAACGTGGCGAAATACTGCAGGGAAAGACCGTAACAGAACTAAATCGATATTAGTAACCGAATGAAATAACACAAGAAAACAAGTACTGAAAGAGTCCCGTCGTGAATTGAGGGGTGAATTCGATCACTTTGCCCTGGTCATTTTTGGCAAAAGAAAACTCCACCGTGGCCAGCATAGTAACGATAGCAGACCACGCTGAGGCATCAGCAGTATACCGGCCTGATCAAAGAATGTATTGGCTCATCACATGCAATACGGCAGTGAAATAACTCAACCTACCTGGACATCTACGTCTGCCTAAGCCAAAACAATATTCAGCCGGGTCGTCGTCCGTCAGTGCACCATCGGCGTCCATGAACCTCTCTGGCATAAACACAGATGCATTGGGGTACCGCTTTTCATCCCGTGTAATTCCCCTGCAATATAATGTCAGTATCTCGAAACCTGGACAGAATGTATCTGACCATATGTTGCATATGACAGTCACTCCTGATGTATGATGTTACTGATGATCTGTTCATTAGACAAAAATGGCAGACCTTTTGGAATAAAGTAACCGTTATATATATCATCACTCGAGGTGGCATGCGGCGCTATAACACCATCTTCAGTGCAGGCTTGATTCCTCAGCGAGGAAGATTACCAATGGGCCCGACAGGCTGCCATCGCAAAGTCTCTCGCAGAACGGATTCAATATATGGTAGTGACGTTCTGTCTTCAAATGTAGGTAAGCGGTCCCGCCCAACAACTGAGTCGATCTCCGCTTGTGCGCGCTTTTGAACATCTGGGTAAGACACCATGGCGAGAGCAAAAGCCATCAAAACCGAAGTACTCTGCGAAGACATTCAGCGGTTGACAATATGGTTCGGACATCCGCTAACCGTCTCGTATGAACCTACATAGATGTGTATCAAAGAGCAGTATACATCCTTCAAAAAAAGATGACGAACCTACAATAGCAGAAGTAGCTGCTTTCTTCAAGGCACTCTCAAACAATGGTCTGGATGTCTGATCCTGCTTCTCCATTCGTTGAAGGTTTTCTGCTACCATCGAAAACTGACCAAGGGCCGAGTCTTCGGTCTTGCCGACCATGTAATTAATAGCTGGGAATAAAACAAAAGATGCCTACCATATGCTGCTGCGTATATCGAAATGGCACCTCCGTCATTTCAGTCATGAGATTGGTCGAAGCTTGGGCCTCGCGTTTGATCGAGGATCCCCAACACCAGTCAGGTAACTTCAGCACTGCATCAGAGTACAGAATGTCAATTATTTTCATGAGAAAAAGAGATGAGCTCACAGAAGGGGAAGGTTTTGAGCAAGATTGCTCTCTCTGGGGTTACCACCTGAAAGCCAATAGCCAGTGCGTTTTCTACCATTCGGACCAGAGGATCATCACGAGGACTGGTTTGGTAGCCGTATGTCACTGACAATGCAACTGATGACGAGAATCTATTGACAGGTTGATAATCATTTGATGTTTGCAAACTCGTTGACTGACGTTGCGAAGTGAGAATGATAATGTTCAGGTTCATCGATTAGATTGACGATCATCTCATGAGCCCGCTTGATCTGCATTGGACGAAACTTGATTGCAGAGTCAGTATGGAAAGTTTGGTGGAAAAGTCGTCGACAAAGACGCCATTCGTCACTGTAGCCTGCGAATGCAAAGATGACCGACCAACCAAACCTGTACGTACTCCATAATGATTAAATGGAGGAATTTTAGAAGAACGCACGGCTCAAGTGTGGCTATGTATGGTCTATCGGAGTAAATGCGAGAACGCTTGTCCAGCAAGGCTTCCGCAACGTGCTGGGAATTGATCACCACGACTTCCTGGCCTAGAAGTCGCACGAAAACCAAGTCTCCTGATATAATGATCTGCATAACATATGTACCGCGGTATTATGTGACCACGTACCATAAGCAGCAGCCCATTCGGTATAAGTCAACCAAGGCTCCTTGGTGTTGATCGATAAGACATTTCCTAACAGTGGGAGCGGCACTGGGCCAGGGGGAAGTTTGTTTTGTCTGTTCCTAATGAACCGCTTGAGGGATGTGATAAAAACAAAGAAAGCAGGTAAGACGGCGAGCATAGCAAGGCGAGCATCAACTGAAGGAAACATGGTTAGAGCAGTGTGTGGGTATACAAGACGCGACAGGCATTGAGTTTTAACTGCACGGAAAACCGCGCCGAGAGCTTATTGAAATACTTATCCATACCTCGCTGTCGTAGGCTTGGCGCTGATCCCAGATAGCAGGCGCTCGTCACGGTCGGCGACGTGTGGAGGTCTGTGGAAAGGGAGATGAGGGCGGGGGTGCTTAGAAATTTGAATGGACAGCTAATCAATATATTGTCAAGTGAGAACTTAGGCCCGGGTGTGTCATGGTCTCGATCGGCTATGTACTACGATCCAATTTGTACATGGGTATAAACCTAGCATTATGTAATAGCAAAGTGCGGAACCGGAGCCTGCGGATGAGTTTCCGGCACGCGTCGATGATCTTATCGATCAAGTCCTGAATCGATCATTATGTAACGTTCCCGCACGATTTTTAACGGACCCTTCCAGACACATCATTCAATAATGATACTCATTGCGGCAGACATGCAGCCAGTGCATGTCTATCTTTGGCTCCACTCACCCTCGCTCCTTTTTCACCAAGGAATCTTTTGACACGCACACTCATCTGTCCATCACACTTTCTCAATGGATGAAAACAGTCCTCATCATAAGACCCGTTGGGGATGGTTGAAGCCAAGTCATCCAGACCGTCCTTTGGTACAGGAGAGAGACAGGAGGGCAGCCAGCCAAGATGTATGGACCTCTGTCTTTCGAACTATGCATTATTTGTAATGATCACAGCTGTTCTCTCTCCCGGATTCGAGGAATGGGTCTCGTGGACGATTTTTGGGGTCAGTTCCCAAGTTACTCGACAAGGTGACCAAGCGCTTCGCTCGAAGCGCTCGACAGTCTCTCAACCCTGAAACCACGACTGCAAGTTCCAGCCCACAAGACATTCAATTCATTCAGTCAAACAAGGTATCCACGATCTCATCTCTGAGTATGCTCTGTGTACCATGATTGCTACCCTTCACTTCTGCAGGATATCACCGCTCCAACGCTCGAACCGAATCCTGAAAAATCTTCCAATTCGGGGATTACAGAAGTAAATTCGTCCAACGTAGTTCGCAATATTATGATCCGTCTTTTTTGATGATATGTTAACTTTTATAACCAGGCCGAACATCTCGACCTGAAGCTTGTTAACGAAAGAATCACCGAAACTACCAAAGGTGTCGCAGGCATTGGCCAGGTCCCAACAATAGTCCAAGATACCTCTTCCGCAATCAACAATCTACCGTCTGTTTCTGATGCAATTGACACGTTCTCCGCGTTGCTTCGACCTTTGAAGGCATTCAATTTCATTGCCAACGAGATCGCGAATGTACAGTCACGTATCTCTTTGCTGTACGCGACTAACATTCACACACAGGTCCATCCCTACGCGAAGGCGGCATTGAGTATCTTCACTTGCGCATCCAAGGTAGGCTTCTTTCTCAATCATCACCATCGCAGGGCGACAAGATTTTCCATGACAGATGATTCTTGATCAGGCAGACCGTGATGTCGCTGTTTCCAGTTTACTCTCAAAGATATCTGAAGTCTATATTTTCATCACGGAAGAGGAGGAATTGGCCAAGATTCAGTCAATGCTAGCGATATATGGGAAGATAGCGCAGCAGACACTGGAGTGCGCTGATTTCATCAGCCATTACTCCGAGACGAAGAGTGCCTGTGGGTTGATCCCACTGCTTCGCCTTCTGGGACTCAATGGTGCCTGTTTGTATAGGGATAAGGCTCGGCAAGCACATTTTCGACGAAACGGATACAACGATTAAGAGCTACAGCAATGTTCTCGATGGTCTCATGCAACAATTCCGAGACCGAGTGGCTCGTGACACCGTTGTGATCGTCCACCATATGGGTAAGAGACGCTCTTAGATTTTGTTGAGCCTTATCTGACATTCCACGACCTCTGGCATAGCTGAGAGTCTGGACCTTGTAGGCATGGAGTACGCAACAGGCGCCGGATTGAATACGTGTAAATGCTGTTTGCCAAATACTCGGCGAGACCTTTTGAAGGATATTCAGAATTGGATCAGTAGCACCGAGGAGGGCGCTCCACGCGTATTATGGTTGTCTGGCACAGCAGGCAAGGGTAAATCGGCCGTTGCCCATACAATAGCCAACTGGTATATCGAAAACGGTGGTCTTGGCTCATGTTTCTGCTTCGATCGCACTCGGCAAGCGGATCGGCGTCAAGACAAAATATTCACGACCATCGCAAGAGAATTAGCGGACTGCAACCCTATCGTGCGACGAGCCTTGGCGCAAGCAGTTCGTGATCACGACGGACTCAAGCGCACTCTAGATATCACAAAACAGTGGCAGGAACTCATCATTGGGCCGACGAGCATAGCCTCAAAAGCCATTGCTGCACCCGTGCTCATTGTCATCGATGCGTTGGATGAGAGCGGTGAAGCTGATTCTCGGGAACAGATTCTTCGTCTACTCGCTGGCAAACTGAACAGTTCAACCTCACAACTAGTTGAACTTCCAACCAACTTCCGCATTCTCCTCATTTCCTGTCCACTTGAAGACATTCATAACACTCTGCATGCTGCACCACATGTTCGCCACGTTTCCTTGGATGATGTCTCGTCTTTGTCTACAGAACTCGACATTCAGCTTTATATCTCCCACAAGCTGGAAGACCTGCGTCACGTCTTGAGCGATGTACACTTTAAGGCGCTCGCTCTGAAATCAGATGGCCTGTTTGAATGGGCCCGTCTCGCCTGTGAGTACATCAAGGGTACGAACAAAGTGGGCGTGGGTCCGGTGGGCCATTACAAAGCTATGATTGCAGGAACATCTGAAAAAGGAACGCGTCTGTTGGATATTATGTATGCACGCATCTTGGGAGAAATCATGCCGGAGGACGAGCGCAGAGAAGCTATCCCGGTGTTTTGCTCAGTGATGGGGCAAATCCTTGCCTCGTTGGAACCCCTGCCCATGCCTGCGTTGACGGCCATGCGACTCCATTTTCTCGAAGGGACTTGCGATTACGAAGTGGGCCGGGTCCTTGGGCCACTGGGGTCCCTTTTGACTGGCACTTCGGACTCCCATACTCCCATACGTCCCCTCCACGCATCCTTCTATGACTTTCTCACAGACAAATCGCGGAGCCATGGCTTCTTCATTGATGCCTCATCAATACACAATGATCTTGCCTTTGCTTCACTTCGAGTCATGGAGGGTGGACTTCGCTTCAACATATGCTCCTTAGAGAGTTCTTACTTACCTAACTCATCTGTCCCTGAATTGGAGAAACGAGTGAAGGATTCTATTTCAACTGAATTATCATACTCATGTCGATTCTGGGGCACACATGTTGGCTCCGTGTCCTTCGAGTTGTCGCTCGCCAAGGAAGTTGAAGCTTTCTTCGATGAAGAGCGCCTTCTTTGGTGGTTGGAAGCGCTGGCCCTGATGAAGGGCCTTGGTGGCTCGGTAGTGACCCTCTCGTCTGTTGCAGATTGGTTTTCGGTGCGTAGTTCAAGTTTGTTCTTTTCTCAATGAATTCTTACGAGTAGTGGGGTGGTTGCAGGGTCATGCTGAATTCACGCATGTTGGTCACGCTACCAGGGATACGCTGCGTTTCGTCCGAACTTTCGCAATCACCATTCTACGCAGCACTCCCCATTTATACTTGTCCGCTCTGCCGTTCGCCCCAACGCAGTCCAGAATGTTCCGCAAGTTCGCCTCCAAGTTTTCTTGCACCCCCCGCATTGTTGCTGGCCATGTCGAAAATTGGCCTCAGATGGAGAAGATACTCCGTGCGAATGACGTTGTTTACTCGGTTGCATTGTCGCCAGACGGAAAACACATTGCGTGCGGTTTAGAAGATGGAACGATTCAGGTGTGGGACATGGATACTGGCGAGGCATTTTCTGCCCCTCTTCGAGGCCACACTGGCTCTATTTTGTCTATCGCATTCTCGCCGGATGGACATCACATTGTTTCAGGTTCGGAGGACGAAACAGTCCGGGTGTGGGATGCAAAGACTGGCGAGGCATCAGGATCTCCTCTCATAGGTCACACTAACTCAGTTTTGTCTATCGCAATCTCACCAGATGGAAAGCGTATCGTGTCTGGATTGGCCGACAAGACAACTCGGATGTGGGACATGGAGACTGGCGAGGCGTTCGGTGCCCCACTACAAGGCCACACAAACAAGGTTTACTCTGTCACAATCTCACCGAATGGGAAACGTATCGTGTCTGGTTCGGAAGACAGGACGATCCGGGTGTGGGATATAGAGACCGGCAAGGCATTGGGCGCCTCTCTCCAAGGCCATGTTGGCACTGTCTTCTCTGTTGTAATCTCGCCTGATGGAAAACACATTGTGTCTGGGTCATCCGACAAGACAATTCGGGTGTGGGATATGGAGACTGGTGAAGCAATTGGTGCCCCCCTCAAAGGTCACGCTGACGCTGTTCTGTCACTCACAATCATGTCGGATGGAAGCCGCATTCTATCTGGTTCAGATGACCAGACAATCCGAGTGTGGGATGCGAAGAATGGTGAAGCAATAGGATCCCCTCTCCAAGGCCATACTGGTTGGGTTGGGTCTGTCGCAATCTCACCAGATGGAAGCCGCATAGTTTCTGGTTCATACGACAAAACAATTCGGGTGTGGGATGCCGACACCATTACGAGCAAGGCATCGGTTAACACCCTCGAATGTCACACTGCCTCTATCAATTCTGTTGCAATCTCGCCCGATGGATGTTCCATCGTGTCTGGCTCGGACGACACCACAATTCGAGTGTGGAATATAGAGACCGGAAAGGCATTGGTTCCCCCTCTCCAAGGGCACATCAATCCTGTTCTGTCAGTCGCAATCTCGCCGGACGGGAAGGGCATTGTGTCGGGTTCAGCTGATGAGAGCATACGCATGTGGAATGCGGAAACTGGGAAAGCATCGGGTGTTTTCCGAGGCCATACTGACTATGTGCGGTCTGTCGCAATTTCGCCCGACAGAAATCATATCATATCTGGTTCAGACGACAGGACAGTCCGGGCGTGGCATATGGAGACCGGCAATGTATATTCTCTTGGTGGGCACTCTGACTACGTTCGGTGTGTTGCAATTTCATCGGACGGAAACCGCATAGTGTCTGGTTCGGATGACAGTACAATTCAAGTGAGGGATATGGGGACTGGCGCGGTATCACGTGTCCGTCTCCGAGGCCACACTGGCTGGGTCCTCTCTGTTGCAATCTCGCCGGATGTATGTCACCTTGTATCTGGCTCACGAGACAAGACTATTCGTGTGTGGGATATGAGGACTGACAAACAAGTGGGCGCCGCTCTCCAAGGCCACACTGAGCGCGTTAACACTGTCGTGATTTCCTTGGATGGCAATCGCATCGTGTCTGGGTCGGATGACCAGACCATCCGGGTGTGGGATTTGAAGACTGGCGAGGCAGTCGTTTTTCGAGGGCACACCGGAAGCATTCTGTCTGTCACAATCTCACCTGATGGTAAACGCATCGTGTCTGGGTCATCCGACAAGACCATCCGGGTGTGGGATTTGGAATTTCTAAAGCAGCACCAACCATTTGAAGTACCTACAATATGTTTCTCATCCAACCTGACTCATGCCCTTAATTCCGCCTCCTCCTTTCTCCAAGATTCTGAGTCCGACGCCCCAACCCCAAACTCTTTTCTCCAAGATTCTCAAACCCTGGGCTCATTAGGCCCGAATGGGGAGGGATGGATTGTAGGTCCCGAAGGACGACTTCTCCTTTGGATCCCACTCGCTTTATACTCGTCTGCGATGTATGCCCCAGGCACCACACTGGTAATACCCAACAATGCCCTGCAGCTGGACTTGAGTAGTGCCACACACGGCATGTCATGGCACAAGTGTCGGGGACAGTAGCCGGTTGTATTTGTCAGTCAAATTTTGGGCATGCACTTATGTTAATCGACTGGATATTTATGCGTATTCCACAGGTTTCATACAATACCTATTTGCCTTCTTGCACCTCATTGGTCTCTCGCAAAACAGTTTAGGGGCGTATGAAGATTTCATTCACTACGTCTCCTCCCGTTGTTACCAAGTATTACTATCTAGAATTACTTCCTAGTTTACTTCCTGCAGGATAAAGTGTGCAAGTTAGAACTCGATGCGAACTTGAAACATGTCCACCAGCATAGACCACGACGCTCCACGAATATTAGTCACTGCAGGCAGCGCACATAAACGATCGTGACTAGAGGAGGTGAGGTGAAAGGGAGATCATGTGTAGAAGTTGGTGTTGGAGAGGAATGGTTTATTAGGTTCGTTCCCGGCTGTGACATCATATGTTAGGACGGGGTATAGAGCCGCGAAATGAAACCAAGGACCCCGCCTGCAGATAGAAGAGGAAGTGAAGTGAAATGAGCTCCTGCGGGTAGGGGCCTAGACTATAGTAGACGTTAACTCAAACTTTAGCAAATCTATTATTAGACTCACGCTGTTTACATCATGTGACTGACGCGTCTCGATGTTCAAACATTCACTGCAGAAAATTGATCATGGCCGTAAGTCTGTACAAGTCTGTACAGGCCCTTAGTAGTTTGCTAACGAAATCAAATATCAAAACTACTCAAACAAGGTATGTGTCGACACAACTCGAACTGGAAAAAGGACGCATCAAATATAGGTACACTGAGAGTACTATTGCGACACGAAAATAACAGCTAGGAGACTGATTGGCAGTTGGCCCAAGTCAGAACATAGAAAAGGACGATGACAAGGCTTTCACTGTCACATACATGTTACTCTCCCATTCGTAAAGCAGCGCCCACGAGTCCTGAATGAATATGAGAACGTGGCGAAATACTGCAGGGAAAGACCGTAACAGAACTAAATCGGTATTAGTAACCGGATGAAATAACATAAGAAAACAAGTACTGAAAGAGTCCCGTCGTGAATTCGGGGGTGAATTCGATCACTTTTCCCTGGTCATTTTTGGCAAAAAAAAACTCTACCGTGGCCAGCATAGTAACGATAGCAGACCACGCTGAGGCATCAGCAGCATACCGGCCTGATCAAAGAATGTATTGGCTCATCACATGCAATACGGCAATGAAATAACCCAACCCACCTGGACATCTACGTCGGCCTAAGCCAAAACAATATTCAGCCGGGTCGTCGTCCGTCAGCGCACCATCGGCGTCCATGAACCTCTCTGGCATAAACACAGATGCATTGGGGTACCGCTTTTCATCCCGTGCAATTCCCCTGCAATATAACGTCAGCATCTCGAAACCTAGACAGAATGTATCTGACCATATGTTGCATATGACATTCGCTCCTGATGTATGATGTTACCGATGATCTCCTCATTAGACAAAAACGGCAGACCTTTTGGAATAAAGTAACCGTCATATATATCATCATCCGAGGTGGCATGTAGCGCTATAATATCATCTTCAGTGCAGGCTTGATCCCTCAGCAAGGAAGATTACCAATGGGTGCGACAGGCTGCCATCGCAAAGTCTCCCGCAGAACTGATTCAATATATGGTAGTGACGCTCTGTCTTCAAATGTAGGCAAGCGGTCCCGCCCAACCACCGAGTCTATCTCCGCTTGTGCGCGTTGTTGAACATTTGGGTAAGACACCATGGCGAGAGCAAAAGCCATCAAGACCGAAGCACCCTGCGAAGACATTCAGCAGTGGACAATATGGTTTGGACATCCGCTAACCGTCTCGTATGAACCTGCGTAGATGTGTATCAAAGAGCAGTATAACATCCTTCGTAAAAAGATGACGAACCCACGATAGCAGAAGTAGCTGCTTTCTTCAAGGCACTCTCAAACAATGGTCTGGATGTCTGATCCTGCTTCTCCATTCGTTGAAGATTTTCTGCCACCATCGAAAACTGACCAAGGGCCAAGTCTTCTGCCTTGACGATCATGTAAGTAATAGCTGGGACAAAACTAATATTTTTGAAACGAAAGATGCCTACCATATGTCGCTGCGTATATCGAAATGGCACCTCCGTCATTTCAGTCATGAGATTGGTCGAGGCTTGGGCCTCGCGTTTGATCGAGGATCCCCAACACCAGTCAGGTAACTTCAGTACTGCATCGGAGTGCAAAATGTCAACTATTTTCACGAGAAAAAGAGCTGAGCTCACAGAAGGGGAAGGTTTTGAGTAAGATTGCTCTCTCTGGGATTGCCACCTGATTGCCAATAGCCAGTGCATTTTCTACGATTCGGACCAGAGGATCATTACGAGGACTGGTTTGATAGCCGTATGTCACTGACATCGCAACTGATGACGAGAATCTATGAGCAAGTTAACAATCATTCGATGTTTACAAACACGTCGACTGACGTTGCGAAGTGAGAATGATAATGTTCAGGGTCATCGATTAGATTGACGATCATCTCATGAGCCCGCTTGATCTGCATTGGACGAAACTTGAGTGCCGAGTCGGTATGGAAAGTTTGGTGGAAGAGTCGTCGGCAAAGACGCCATTCGTCACCATAGCATGCGAATCCAAAGATGACCGACCAACCAAACCTGTCTGTACTCCATAATGATTAAATGGAAGAATGTAAGAAGAACGCACGGCTCAAGTGTGGCTATGTATGGTCTATCGGAGTAAATGCGAGAACGCTTGTCCAGCAAGGCTTTCGCAACGTGCTGAGAATTGATCACCACGACTTCCTGGCCTAAAAGTCGCACGAAAAACAAGTCTCCTGATACGATGATCTGCACAACATATGCACCGTGGTACTATGTGATCACGTACCATAAGCAGCAGCCCATTCGGTATAAGTCAACCAAGGCTCCTTGGTATTGATCGATAAGACATTTCCTAACAGTGGGAGCGGCACTGGGCCAGGGGGAAGTTTGTTTTGTCTGTTCCTAATGAGTCGCTTGAGGGATGTGATAAAAACAAAGGAAGCAGGTAAGACAGCTAGGATAGCAAGGCGAGCATCAACTGAAGGAGACATGGTTAGCGCAGTGTGTGTATATTCATGGTGTGACAGACATTATGTTGTAACTGCACCAAAAGCCGCTTACTACCGCACCGGGAGCTTATTATGTTATTATGCTTTGCTGGGTTGGGCGCGACGGCATGGAGGGGAGGATGACTAATCGCGTGCCCCGGTGCACGTAGGCTTGGTGTTGACCCAGATAGAACGCACTTGTTGCGGTCTGTGGGCAGTGAGGAACCTGGAGGGAAGGGAGATGAGGGCGGAGGTACTTAGAATGGACAACCAATCAATATAGTATTATCGAGTTGGGCAAGCGAGAAACGCGTGCCATCATCTTGACCCGCTGAACTGCATACATGGAGGTGTATGTTCGTATGGGTACTGCATTAATGGGCTCCTGCGGGTAGTACGGTAGTCTGTAGACGAAAACATCAAGAGCGAATCTATTATTAGACTCGCGCTATTTACATCATGTGACTGACGGAGGGTTTTGTATCACATGACCGACGCGTCCTGCGTACCGTGGATTGTTGTTTAATCAGTCTTCTGTATAACATATTTATCATTCAACTTGTCATACCAGGAAACTGTTACAACTTTGCACGTCCTCCTTCATTCCTTGTCAACCACTCCTTGAAAATCAACCAGTGATAACTTCACAACACGACCAACATGCTTGCCTTGGTCACCACGACAGCCCTCGCATTGGCTTCTCCTGTCACTCTAAAGAATCCTCCATCTTTCCTTCCAATAACCCAGCCTCTTCTATCTCAATATCTAGCATCAGCATGGTCCCCCGATAACTCATCTCTCTATCTCGCCTCTCCCTTTAGCATTGATCGCTTCATGACCTCCAAAAGTCGGTTGGATAAGGCCATATACGTGCAATCCAGGGAGGAAAGCGAGATAAATACTATGGCAGTAACTCCGTCAGGAAATTTAGTACTGGGCGTCGGGAAGAAGGTGATTGTGCTGGAATATGCAGCTGGATCAGCAACAGTACTTAAAACCCTCGAATCCCATGGAACAACGATTACCGCGCTAGTTGTGTCAAACGACAGTACGCTCATCGCTTCCGCCTCTTCAAATGGGGTACATATTCACGATCTACTCGCCCCTGCCAAACATAAATCTCTCCCCCTCCCCACAAGTGCTCCCAGGTCTGTGAGCACCATGACATTCCATCCTCATGTTCGAACCCGCCTCCTTCTTGGTCTCGGCCGTGATATACTGGTTTACGACGTAGACAAGCCTTCCGCGCCTGTAAAATCCATTAGCATTGGACGGGACGTAGTGGGCATCGCGTGCAGCCCGTTTAGCAAGACGCTGGTTGCTGTTGCCAGCACAGATAGCGTTAGCCTTGTTGATCTGGATAAGGATAAGGGGTACATACGCACATGTTCTATCTCATTATGCACTAACTCCCTTGGCATAGGTTATTCAAGACAGTCTTGTCCTCGGAGCCCATTACCTCGATCACATTTTCACCTGAGGGTGCAGTTATCTACCTCGGTATGCGGGATGGGCTGAGGATTCTCAATCTCAGAGAACTGGACAAGGAGATGAAGAGAGTTTCTGTGGGCGAGACTGGACAAGGAGTACTATGTCTCGCTGTTCAGGTACGTATCTTTGGCACACAGTGGTTGAATTTGCTATCTTTCCCAACCTAACGAGAAAAGCAGAAAAGATTAAAAACCTCTGCGTCTGCTGTTAAACCAAGTATTTCCAATCCATCAGCAAACTTCTCTCCTGTACGTGCTCGTGCCAAAGTAGCCTCAAACGTTCGTTCTCCCCTCCGACCTGTGGCGGCTGCTGTACCGAGAAAGAATGGGATTTCGTCAATAAAATCATCTATTGCTGGGACACCTAAGAAGCAGGATTTTTTAGAGACCAGTACGCCGACCAGGCGTGTCTCAAATCGAGGTGCTTTCTCACCATCGAGGAATCCTATATCACCGCATGGTGGCAGAAGCACCGAAAGTTCTAGTGGGTTACCTTTTATGCGGTATACATGTAGAGAGCGCTAACACATGCGTCTCAAAAACTAGTAACTGGTGCACTACGCAGTAGTGTGTCTACATCACGGGAAAATATCTTTGATGATGCAAGTGATACCCCAATGCGATTGAATACACGGGCCGCATCTTCCCAAAAGTCTAGGCTTTTGGGTATCCATGCGCACCCTGCTGAGTCGATCTCCACTAGACTGGCTTCAATGCGTACAGATAAAACGAGAGAGACGAGGGTTGCTTCTGGATCATCCACTCGTTCTGAGATTACAAGGACGTCATCGAATTTAACTGTTGGCACGAGAACCAAAGGGTCTTCGTTAAAGCGCGCCCCGTCGACAATATCGATCTCTTCATCGAAGACGAGGGAAAGCGCTCGCTCAAAGACGCCTGCCGATGAAGACGAGGATGCACGCACAGAAATCTCGTCTCCGGATTTGCCGATAGACCCCGTAACCCCCGTAGCCGACATAAAGAGACAGTCAGCAAGAATAGTCGTTGAAGCCCAGAAACCAAGGGTGAGAACAAGTGTAGGGAGGACGAGGACAGAGACGGGCAGCACAGGCCTTAGTGTTATCGGTACTGCAAAGTCCAGGGGAAGTAAGGATAAGGGAAAGGACAAAGAAGTCAATGTGGATGCGGAAGATGCTGGCAAGTACGAGGAATTAAACGCCGTGGAAGAAGACGAAGAAGAGGCGCAAGTGACTCACGAGCGTAAGCTCTCAATGCAAGTTTCCCCTCGCCGACCCGTGGCACAGACCTGGGTTCCATCACCACTCCGGCGAAACTCAGGCACGTTCCCTATGCAATCTGGGGCAAGCGGTGCATACGAGCTCTTCCGGGGGCTCATTGTGGACATGCAGACCAAGAACCACGCAGACATAAAAGCGCTGCACGTTGATATGTTGCGAATGGGGCGCGGGCTTCGGCAGGAGATGGAGGAGTGGGGTGGGGAGGTGAAAAAGTTGAGGGAGGAGAATCAGAGGTTGCGGGAAGAAAATGATAGGCTGAGGAGAGGATACTGAGCGTCCCTCAGGTTATTTTTTGGGGGTAGACCGGTGTATTGGTTTGTATGATACCCTTTCGCAATACACTAGTGTAGCTAGTAGGATGTTGTATGATCTTTTCCAGTGCTCCGCTTCTCTCCAAAAATTTGATGTGCTCCAATCGGATTCTGTACGTCTCGAGGACGATGTATAAACCGACGCATGATGGAGAAATTGACATTGTATTTACATAACCGACGAATTTCAGTGACGGCCAACACGATCACAAACCCAATACTTACTACATTGAGTTGTTAACTCCCCATTTCCTTCAAACACGGCCCCCCCCCCCCCCCAACAACCAAAGCTTCACAATAGAGCTTCACTGAGTACGCCATTCGCCAACTCGAACCATTGCCCCAATGTTTCATTTACGGGGTGAAATCTCCAGAGCCGCTTGCGTGACATCCTCGTCATCAACGCAGACCTACAAATACTCGGAAGCGTGGGGCCTTGAGCGCTTGTCCTCTGGCGCGTGGTAAGCGCATACCCGGGTGTAATCTGCACAGTGGAGAAGGGTATAGACAAACTCTCCGTCAGGAGTCTGAATCCCGCACGCACACGAGTGGCTTATACAACAATGAAATGTAGTCTTCAATCCAGATACTAACGGGTATTGACCAATGGTGTCGGCAGGACAATGCGATAGATCCGTGACTGGACAACATGCTCATCTCCACTGAGTCATCCTGCACTTGCAGACGAATGGGTCTATTACCGAGTTTTCCTTGCTGTTTGGTATACTAGTCACAGTAGTCACTTGCAAATAATCGCCGGTGGGGACATGCAGAGTCCCTAGCTTCTCATGGTTTTCACATCGCGAGGCGGTACATCCGAGTCTCATTAGTGCCGAATTATGATGGTAACACCCACGTGATCGCGATACTGCAAGACATCAACACGCCTCAATCATGCACATCAACCCCGACAATGAGCCCAAGTTCACCAAAAGCGGACTCAGTTAGTACACTCATATTCTCCGGTGGCGAAATTGAAGGCGACTACTCGTACGAAACCGAAATATGTGAAGGTGAGCGCCTGGGAGAGCTCTGCAACTTGAACCACGATCAGGAGACAGGAGACGCATCTGACAAGAAGGTCAATGTATATGTCCGACTTTTTGAAGGTGTGTCATGTATCAAGATTTCATTTTCAAGCATGCTAAATACACGCACTCTCAGACATGCTCGGGACTTTGATAGAGACCGAGGCACATTTATTTGACCTTCCAGAACTTGATTACTTCCAGAGATATGACAGACTTTCGCGTATGTTTACTTTCCATAACCTCATGAGCTAAACTCAGTGATAAATAGCAAATGCAAAGTTTCTTATGACGAAGCTTCTTTTACGAAAATTCAATGCATGGCACCGTCTAGACTCCCTCAAATATGAAGCTGAAATAGGTAGCAAAGAAGGGCTTATTCAAGCTATCAACGAGATATGCTTTGTACCAGGTCAAGTCAAAGTAGACACCATAGATGAAGAGGCCGTCAAGATGAGCGTAGAGGAGAGGGAAATAATAGACCTCACAGATGCACCACGTTCCCTGCCTTCACGCATTCTGCAACCTCAGGAAATACTTGCACCGCACTTGTATCAACCCACACCACTTACACCCCTTATTATCAAGACCGAGGAAGTCCCAATACCTTTAGATGCAACACTCTCTGCTGCAAACGCTCTTGCTGGTCCCTCTTCTATAAAACTCGAAGACCTTCCTATGGCTGACACCAAAATGAACCACGTCGAAACACTCCCAGAGCCCGGAGTCATTCTAGCAGAGGACGAGTCTCAAATGGACCTTCCTACCCTCCTCGAGTGCCTTAGAGTTGACGAACTACGCTGCATCGCAAAGCAGATGCGTGTCAAAGCTAGTTCAAAAGTGTGTCCTCAAGTCCTTGTCACGTCTAGCCTGATCTTCTGAATCTCCGCAAATACAGTCCGAAATGATACACGCTCTTTTAAGAGGTTCTTGCACGCAGTCGACACTAATATCATCATTCGCCTGTGCTATGACGACGTCCAAGATCCGATCGACATCCAAAATTCCTGCAACTTTTACATCATCACCAGCCATTTTTCGACAAACTACCCTCCCTTTTGGTCGCGAGACAGCCCAGAAACGACTGCGCGATATTGTTCTCGGTACACTGGGCAAGTGTGTGCGTGTACATGAGAGCTTTCATCGGTTCGTGAGGCGGGCGAACATAATATATTTCAGGCTGTGCGTCTCTTCTTCTCCCCCTGCACCTTCTTGTGCCTTTTCGTTTCTCTATACCACAGTCTAACTTATCATATAGAACTCAATCCTCCCAAGCTCTTCTTCTGCCCTCCCTGCTCTCACGGTTTAAGAAGCGCTCCTATGCAAACATAGCCTCCACACGTACGAAGGACATCTGGCCTACACGTGATGCCCTTCTCGCTTACGAACAAGCGCTTGAGCAGGAAGAAATTGTAGATGCCATGTTCGCCGGGAACTTTGCAGCAGTGGGAGCTGAGAGGGAATTTAAGACTCCAGCCACGGATGAGCTTCGATTCAAGACACCAGTAACACCAAGTGCTGCACCTGGAGCACCACAGACACCAATTTCTACGAAGACTGTGCAGACCCCTGTATCAAACACCTTTGCAACACCTGCTTCAAGTAGCAAGGGCAGGCCGCAATCCAGATCTGGTGTGTCTGGCAACACTGAGAAACCAGACTCCGTGCGTGTGCATAGGGCACGACTAGTGAAGGAAATTTTCGAGGAAGTGTATCCGCACTGGCAGGCTCTAGTAAAGATGAAGGATGAAGGTGGTCTTGAGGGGGAAGAGAGAGGGTATGGATTAGAGAGGTTTGAGAGCGGTGTGTATATTCCATCCACCACATGCACCCACTTACTTAACTTTTTTTGTAGGGCACGTCCTAACTCGCCTCGTTTGTAAAGGCGCGCATGCGCTCGGCATTCTCGGGGAACACGAATATGAACTCAGTGTTCTCGAGTCCCTGCTTGCGCAGAGGCGGTGGCGTCGTGGACGACGGGGGAGATGGCACGAGCGCCGGGCGCTGATCCTAGAGAAACATGTAGTCAGATATGATGACGCGCTTTCGGCATGCCTCGATGCTCTTAAAGATGATGATACACATATTGGTGGGTTGGGATCCTGAAGCTAATGTTTGTTGCGTCCTGACTGATTACCGGATAGTATTTCGCCCCAAACTTGACCGTCGCCTGACAGCTCTTGAAAAAAAGCTTAAAGTTGAGCCTGCAGATCGGCATACGAGCGAATGGAACCTCCAACCTCTTGTGTTGGTCTCCATTGAAGGAGTGCGCGTGCGCCACCGTGCAGGGAGTTTAAAACTCGACCGTTCCGGGCGGAACATCAATGACAATGCCAAACCAAAAGTCTCTATCACTCAAGCAGGAGACATCACTAAATTTTTGTCGCCGAAAAAGCCTGGCGTGACAAAAGTAGATGCGACGCCTGTCTCGATCAAAGCTGAGGTAAGTTCTCGTATTCTGGATGAGAAACCAAATATTGACCTGTTCCTAGGCAAGGGAACGGAAAGAGGAGAAAGGAAAGTCCATCTGGGTTGGACGAGATAACCTAGAAGTGAATGTCGAGACACTCGCACTTCAATGGTACGAAGACCAAGGGTTCAAAGGGTATGTCTATCTCTCGCCTTTCTCGCCTTCCACCCTTATGATCGCTCAATTCCGCAGCATACACTCAGAAACTAGAATCATCACTACCCTCTTTGGTATCCTCTTCTGGGATATCATCTTCCTCCCCATCCCCGGTGCCTTCGAGACCCCTTTCCAGACTGCACCGTTGGATATCGCAGAAGACGCATTCTATCATGCTCGACGAGATCCCATCGAAACAAGGCTCAAGGAACTCGAGGATGGACGAGGAGAGGAAATTGTGAACCGAGTAGAAGCAGAGCATAGAGCACGCAAGACATGGTGCGTAGGTGTAGATTGGGAATTGGTAGAGGAAGGGGAGATTGTAAAGATAGTCCGTGTGAGTTTGAATTCCGCTGTGGGAAGGCTGGTAATTGACGCAGTTATAGTGTCTTGGCGGAACAGCGCTGTCTGTGATATGTCATATTTTTTGTGAAGATTATGCTGGGCGCTGTTCCGGCGGTCCAGATCTCTTTTTGTGGAATGCGGATACAGGAAAATGCAAGTTCGTCGAGGTTAAGGGCCCAGGTGATAGTCTTCAGGAAAATCAAAAGGTCAATGTCAGCGAGTTCCCGGGCACGTATCTCAGCTGACATTCATAAACGCTACAGCTCTGGATCGACGTCCTTCTCCGAGCCGGAACAGCTGTGGAGTTGTGTTCAGTATACGAGCAGGGTAAAGGGGATGAAAACAAGACGGCGAAGAAGGGGAAGTCAAAGGGAAGCACTAAGAAGCGGCGAGGCAAAGCCAAGGATATTGTTGAATCCGACGACGAAGAATATGAGGTGCAGCGCATGTGCGAATCTGAGGATGACGCTGATGCTTTGCCCGTTGCACCCGTGCGCATGGACGACGACCAAGACGAAGGAACTTCTTCTAAACACTCTACTCGCTCACGATCCTCTGCACACCCTGGAACGCCGAATTGTATGCCTGCAACTACCGTTATTGAACCGTCAACGTCAACTCCTCCGCATTTGTCCAAGAAGCGCAAGCTCATTGCCGAAGTCATTATTACCACCCCTAGCCCCAGGAAGAAGATCAAGTTCTTGCAGAACAGCGACAGTCCCGATGTTTGAAAATCATGTTATTTTTACCCTATCTTTATTTGTTTCATTTACATCACAGTATATAGTGTATTAGTAATTCTGATATTTGTATGTTCATCGGGTGTGTCGTCGTCGAGGTGTTTAGATAACCCTGTGTCATAAATAGTGGGTGAGGAAGAGGAATACAGTGAGTATGACCATACACGTGGAGTGGGAATAAGGGGGGAGATGAGTAGCAGCACAATGCGATGAATGATGAATAAAATGTAAAGAAGCAAACCATGGCATGCAAATCGAAAAGTATCATCAATCATCCTTCTTGAGAGTAGTTTTGCGACGCAGAGAGGAGAACAGACGTAGGCTGCGCTTCGGCGGGCTCTGCCGTATTGAAGGCAGGTTGCGGCTACTCTGCCTCCGCTCTGACAGATTGGTCTGCATGCGTCGCATTGCAACGCCACCTTCTTCAGTCGCGAAGTCGAATCCGCGGTATACGGAGCGAATACCAGTGGACATGTCTGTTCGGCTTGCACCGCGCGGATCTTGTGCCATCCGTAGATCTAATGATAGATTATCGACGCTGGAACAAGCAATCGACGCTCGTGACATGTGTGAGGATGTACGCCGCCTTGAAGACGCATATGGTTTGGAGCGCGTCGATTCACTTCGGAGTGTTGCCATGTCAAGATCGGGCCGTGTCTTCCGGATGTAGCGTAGCATCTCTAGGTCCCCAGGCGCATACCCCAATTGCCATGCGCGATAGAGGTATCGTGGAAGGAGAGCGATGGCGATGACGAGGGGTTGACACAACCAGAAATAGGCGGATGTGAACAGGTAGTAATTGTTGCCATAGACGTTAGTCACTGTCCATCCCGGGCTGATTGCGTTGTAGACAGCCTGTGGAGACGTCAGTCTCATAGATGACAGGAAGAGCGCTAGGAACTTACCGTGAATATCAAGAGAATAATGATACCGATGAAGACAGCAAAGAAGACCCAGGCAGTCCAGACATTTGTGTTCAGGCCATTGAACAAGCTGACAGCTATAACGGTGGCAAAAACCATGGTCTGCCGAGGATTACCATCAATAACAAAACATTTAGTTAAATGAACAAAGCTTACCGTTGAATACTCATACAATTCGATGCCGTATCCATCAGTCCGAGAAGTAGTCGTGAAGTATGTATAGGTGATGATAAAGTAGATAGGAACAGACTGCATGGATGTCAGGGGGGTGATACGACCCAAGGAAAGGTGTAACGTACCTGTATGACTCCATCGAGCATGTAGATGAGGAACGATTTCATAGAAAACCAAGTCCGTTCGCGACCATACCGATACAGTTCAGGGAAGGCCATCAGAACATCGGCATCTGTGCAATTCGTTAGAAATAGCTCGTATGTCTAGTGATGAGATCTTACCAACTATTCGATCAAACAGACCAATTCCGAGGACAGGAGCAATCGTCCAGAACGAGTTCCAGAATAACAGGTAAGTATACTCAAATGCGCTTTGAAAAAAAGTCAGCAGCTATGCAAGATTGAGACCAGTGCATGGCTCACTAAGCTGAACTCCAGCCACAATAGATCTGGAACCACCACAAAACGCCGATACACACAATATTCTTGTAGAAAAAGTTGACAATCCTATAGTCGAAAAGCGTCAGGACCAGTATCAAGCACAGATGAACAAACTAACATGATCCCGTTACGAGCATAAGACCAGTGACCGTGGACAAGGAGCAATTTTTTGAGAAACCGAAACTATTTTATCATGAGCGACATGTCCAAGACTGAACCAAATCACACACCTGTGCAATAGCATAGTCTGACGAGTTGACAGCTTGCAGACCTTCCTCACCACTAATGCCGACACCAACGTCCGCAGCCTGAATCATGCTGACATCGTTCGCGCCATCACCAATAGCAAGGGTCATCACGTGAAGACCATCCTTGACCATCTTCACCACAAGTGCTTTCTGCAGCGGAGAAACACGACAACATATGACGCCCTCGCATTGCGTAGCAAGACGGAGAAGAAGAGCCTTGTTGTCGTCGTCCGGAAGGGCGTGGTCCAGCGCAGCACCGTCAATGACAAGCACGAATCCCCCAGGTCGATTACCGTTGTCGTCTCCGACAATATCACGGACCCCCAAGCTTAGCCGCCGCATGGGGAAGGCGCTGGTCGATTCTGTTGAAGGTGATTTAGACGCAATACCACGTTCATCAAGAATGCCGCTGTCTGGAAAGAATTCCTCCACTGCCTGAATCATTTGATGTTCAACCGGGCGGTCGCTACCGCGGATGATGATGATATTGGAGTCCTCAGCGATGAGATTCGTACTGCGCCCGATAGCTGTATCGAAGATTTGTCAGACAGACCCTGAAAAAGCGAATGAATACGTACCGATGGCAGTCTCGAGCTTATCACCGGTAGCAACCCAGACCTTAATTCCCGCGACCTTGAGATCAGCGATCGTTTCTGGCACACCATCCTGGAGTCGATCTTCGATGGCAGTGGCACCAAGAAGTCGCAGGTCCTGTTCTATTTCATTACAAACTGCCTCGATCTTGTCTTCACGGTCCTCCAGGGCAGTAGAGGCTTCATGATAACGTTCAGACCAGGCCTCGTATTCATCCTCTGGATAAACCCTTTAGCAAAGTAGGAGCACGAGCTAAATTTAACTTACCCTGAATAACCTTGTATGCCAAAGTCAACGTCCTCAATCCAGCATTCGCAAAGTCCTCCAGATGTGCCTCAGTCGTTCGTTTCCAATCATCTCCACCAGCCTTCAGCCGCTCAAAGATGACGTTATCCGCGCCTTTCGTAAGCAAGAACAGTCTCCCGTCTTGTTCATCCAGTTTCTTGATGATGACGCTCATCCGCTTCCGTGCGCTCGTGAACTCCAAAATATTAAGCAGTTCATACCGCTCTGTCTCCTTCGAGAAAGGAGTTTGCAAAAGCAGAATCTCCTTCTCACGTCCGCGAAAGATAAACCCGACGTCCGCGGCGGCTTGGACGAGGGCAGCCTCGTCAGGTGATTGTGCTTTGTACTCGATAGCGCCTGTTGCAGGGTCGACAGCGGTTAGAACAGTATGACAAAGTGCCAAGACGGAAAAAAATCCATTAAGCGAGCGCGCCTGAGCAGCGTTTTCTGAATCTGGTTCGGCTTCTACTGCACGTGCGAGATCTTGGGAGAGGCGCTCGTCCCTGAAATGCCTGAGGACGCCACTAGAGAGTTTGACGGCGGTAGCATCCGCAGCAGATGGGACGGTAGGATCATCCCCACGTACGGAGGTCGAAGCATAGGAGGAGTCGTTGCTGGTTTCACGAAGGACATCTGTACTGTTCCCTAAGGGTTTCTTGATGTCTTCGTCCTCATCCTCTTCAGGATCACCGTGATAGACCGTTCCTGCGATGGAACACTCTCTGAAGACCATAGAATTCTACAAGGAATGTTAAACGGGGATGCAGATGAGCCACAGCAAGCGCACCTGTGTCAGAGTACCGGTCTTGTCAGAAAATATGTACTCTATCTGCCCAAGGTCATCGGACAAGTTGTAACTTCGGGCAATGGTCGGTTGGTTCTTCTTTACGTAGAAAATGTCGTAGTCAAAGTAGATGAAGAGCGCCTGACACGTCTTCACAAACTCTATTGAGATGTACAGGGATATGGGTACAATGTTTTGGAACCTGTGATGATCGATCAGTTTTGAATAGAAGAAGGGATCATGAACACAAACGTGATCAGCGCAAATGCCCAAGTGATCAGTCCGTTAATCCTTGGGTTATCATTAGACACGTTATCGCCGTATAGCCAAGGGGCACCCTCTGCGTATTGCACGGCTTCGATCTGGGAATCCGCGATGCCACATACGACTGCCATAATAGCCAGAATAGCTAGATTCGCCAAGCTGGAAGAACATCATGTGTCAGGTACAGAAGAGACCCAAGATGGAAAAGACTTACACCTGGGGATTGATCTGCTTCTCGACTCGACTCCGCTTACTGGGCGTGCCACCAGAATTCAGGACGATCTTGGTCTCAGTGCCAGTGAAAAGAACAACACCGATGACCCAGTCTGTGTTCCGGAGTACCGTGCCGCGAAGAAGAACCGTCTGCACGTCCACTGAGGACTTTTCTCCATTGCGAGTAACAGTAGCATTGAACCTGTACATGTTCGTATCCGGTCGATCGCAGTCGATAGTGAATGGGTTGAGTGTGGAAACACAAGCGGCGGCAGTGTGGAGGTCAGTAAGGGCAGGACATGCGTTTCTGGACTTGAGATTCGTCTCTCCATCAAGGTTCTTTGTCTCGACAAACGCCACGTTCTCGTCCTCGGAGGTGGCGCATATGAGGAGATCAGCCGGAATAGGCTCATCGTTCATGATTCTGACAAAGTCGCCAACCCGGATATCCTCCCACATGGTTTTGTGCCAATGGGGCCTAATATTTTCGCCGGCATCTCCAAACATATGATGTTCAACCTCCTCCATGGAATCCGCGCGGTCGTACTCGATATCAGGATCCTGTTTGGTTGCACTACCAGCCTCAACGTCTCTCCGCTTTGGACGGCGTCTTGGGACGATACCCCTGACGAAGGTCCGACTTTTTCTACCATTCAAATTCGGGTTAACCCAATCGCCACCGGCAAGGACGCGAACCTGCGAATGGTTGACGTGACGGTCTGACTGATGTCGTTTGACGTCCTCGTAGCCATCCTTTATAGCGGTGATGCTAAGGACGATAAGGATGGGTATTATTACGAGACCTGGAGAGATGGTGGAGAATTCGGGAAAGAACTGCAGAATGGCTATGAATGCAAAGAAACTGCAGAATGTGGTCAGTCATTGGAGTGAGTGAGGCGGTGCAAAAAGTGGAGACATACATGTTGGCTATTCGCCTGAACTGTTCTAGGAGGTTTCTGGGCAGAAATGTTATGATTGTGTACTTGGATGAGATGACCTGGTTAGTGGGGTAGATATGCTCTTTCTTTGGCTTGCCCTTTATATCAAAGTAGCCATCTGGGAGATTCTGGTTGAAGAAGACAGTCCGAGGTATGCCCGGGCCAGGATGGCGGGAGAATAAAGACTCTACGTTGAAGTTGACAACTTTGTTGTACAAGGCAGTAACGCTAGAGCGATACTTTGCCATATGAGCACCTGGACTCTGAGAAGGGAGGAAGGAGGAGGAGTAGTATTAATGGAAAGAAGGGATTTGTTTATAGAGTCATAGTGTATACGTACTATTTGCCGAAGCAGCGCCCGATGACTGATTATTCATTGATGACAACTGTGGCTGACCCACGCCTCAGATCCGTTGATTCCCCTCTGTTTAGTTTCAAACTAATTTGCTGGTGCCTGAGGCCTGAGCGCTGACCATGAGAGTCGGGCCCCCTCCCTCTCTTACCTTGGAGTGCTGGCTGAACCCAATACGCAGGTAATTTTACGGAACGGCGGCCTCGGCAAGGACTTATTTATGTAAAACCTTTTACTTAATAATGCATATGACGCAAGAAAATCGCTTATATATTAAGGTATGAGATTACTAGAACGCAAAATGAACGTGCAGGCGAGTAACGCAACAACTAGTAAAAAATCCATTGGAAAACAAACGAACGCAAAAGCTAGTACGGAACCAACAGGGTATCAATGGTTTGCATTTTCCTGTGCTTCATTAGTTTGATATTTTAATCTCAAACACTGCCACTCATACCAATCGCAACCAGGAGAATAATGTGCTCTATTGGTTGGTGGGCGGTCTTTGCTGTACACCCTCCTTGAGAGCAAGCAATTGCTTTGAACGGAAAGCCTCATAGTGGATCTGGGCTGTCGTCTCAATTAGATCTTGCAGGTGTGTCCTGTAATACGCCACGGTGAGAATGCGGCTCCGGAATATTCGGCATGTGCCACAAACCTCGTGAGGAAGTTTCGCAGGTGCATGAACTCGCAGTGGTTTTCATCCTCGACATTAACCACGCCCCATCGGTTCTTCCGGCCCCGCACAGACTTGCCGTCAATAATCACACTCCTCTCAGAGCCGACGACAGCGAAGGGAATCACGCTCTAAAAAGAGTCTCAGCACCAATCAGATTTCAATACAAACACACGTACTCTGATTGATTCGTTCAACTGAATTTCCTCCTCATCAGTCTCATCTGTATCGAAGGGATACAAACGAATGTTGTGGTACACAAGCTCCGCGCGAATCTTCAATTCGGTCAGCCAATGAACCAAGGTTCATAAGATCTCACCGACCTTCTGCTTGAACGCAACCCTCTCCTCCAAGGTCAAGCTGTCCGCCTTCGCAATCACAGGCACGACGTTCACAACCTCACTCAGCTTCTTCATCACAATGACGTCAATGGCACGAAGCGAATGTCCCGTTGGGCTGATGAAGTACAGACAGCAGTGGATACGCGTGTCCAGGATATACCGGTCACGCATGGCCGTTAACTCCTTGCGTAAATACGCACTATGCTGGTCCTTGATGTACTTCACAATAGGATCCCAACTGCACGACACCTATCATCGACAGTCCAAAAACACGCGTAAAGGAACCTACCAGTTCTCGTTGTTGACCTGGTCGCCGTACCCAGGCGTGTCAACAATGTTGAGACGCAATTTAACGCCATTTTCAACAATAACTAGTGGAACCGTGACGTGAATACTGCTCTGCACGACTCGGAAAACGTTGACTGACCATGCGAGACAGCCTGAATCTCAGTGGTCTGCCGAACAGGCTCGTTCGACTCCAACCGACCCTTCGAGTCAATAAGGTGCGACGCAAAGATGGTGTTGATCAGCGTCGACTTCCCAAGACCAGTTTGTCCTAGCCGCCACACGTTTCATTCAACCCCGTAGATACATTAACAACCATAAGACTCACCAACAACGATGACATTGAACTGGAAACCACGTTTCAAGAGCTTGTGCTCAATCTGCTGCGTGATAGAGTCGAAACCGACATAAGACGTCGCACGGATTTCCTCGACAGTTGCTGCAGCCATAGCTTCGAAATGAAATGTGGATTGAGGGAAAAGTATGTAAAGAGTTGGTGGTGCAAACGACGACGAGAAGGTCAAGACGAAGAACGGCCAACCAAACCGAGGGCCAACCGAGAACCAAAATTGTTCATATCGGGGTCCGAGGTCCGAGTTTACGTGTTACTGGCACCGCTTCTAAATCCACAAAAGACTCGAAATGTATCCATTTCTGCCAATTCTATACATCATTCCACGCTTCGTTCTACTCTATAAATCCTCCTACACCGCACATTTCTTCTTCTTGATCACCTAGACACACCCTCTATGACCTACGGTACACTCAGTGACATTTCCTTTCCTTTCACCGCGCGAAGCGACTCGTTCAGAGAACTGTGCCCAACCTGTATCAAAACCAAAAGCACAGAAGCATAGCATTATCAGTATACAAATAACGTTATTTCGCAGAAGAACGCAAGGTGATCGGAGATACTGAGAGGTAAGGTAGGGTGAACGCCGCGACAAGGACCACCACGGCTATCCCTAGAGCCGTCGCAGCTGATGAAGCAGAACTCGTAGGTTTGGAAGGAGTGCCAGTAAGAGAACGGGTGGATGATGATAAAGGTCTGGTGTAGGATATGAGCTGTACGTACCCAATAGATTTGAGACCGTGTATGCTGGAAAAAAGTCAGTGCATGAAAGCACTCCCAAAGACGCGCACGTACTAGTATCCCTCTAAATTCCTCGTGAGTTCGTCTTCCATGCCTTTCGGCACACCGTCAAGAGTAAACGTCACTTTCGTCGAATCAGACGACTGCTCGAAAGTCGTTGTCAGTGTTGCAAAGTGCTCTGGCACAATAAGATTCAGGCGCTTCTGAGATAACACGAAGGAAGAAGAATATCCGACCTGATGGCCACGTAGGACTTTGCAAAGCCCAAGTCTGCACAATCTCCTTGCCTGGCGTCAGTGACACGTACTTTCCCTTGACACCACCACCAAACAACGAGTACTCAGTGTCTGCTTGCGCTGCAGACTACCAAAGCAACCATATCAGCCTGATTTCCTTATGGACGTGCTCCCGAATTACCTGAGCCGGTGCACGGGTCCACGAAGGAATTCTCCTTTCGTCCGTAAAGAGTCCGAAGAGATCGTCTGAAGCGGCCATAAACGTCGCCTCCTTAACCACACTGGACGTGTTAATGTTAGTTTGAGATTGTTTGACGGGGGCGGGTTTTGGAACTGTCGTAGAGGCTGATGAGGCCGTCGCAGCAGTTGCCTCGGTAGAAGGAGGTGGTGTACCCGGGAGGCTAGATTGCCCGCTGACAGTAAGATCCTTTCCATGGGTATCGATGAGCGCTACAGGGAACTCGGCAAACTTGGCCTCGAGAGCAGGTGGGAGACGTGTCTTGACGAAAGCGAAGAGCGCATTGACTTCAGGACTAGAAGCAGTGTCCAGTGTCCAGTCATACTGCGATTAAAACACTTCAACTTCACGATCTTCGCGTCGGGTATTGAGAAACATACAACATAGTCCGACAGCTTATCCAGCGTGATTTCATGCGAGACTTCTGGGATACTGAGTTTTCCAGCTACATCTGTCCCATCACTCGTGGCCCCTCGCCAATCTACCTTCATTTGAATGTCGTATATCGTGATCAACCTGAAATGATCTCTTCATGAATGCACAAAATGCAGAGAGAACAGGATGCATACTTTGACTTGCGCTGACCGAGCTCGACATCACCATCTTCAATCCTCACAGAAGAAATCGTGACGTTTCCCTCTGTTCCTTCGATCACGATAGCCGTCAGCTCTCGCTCGAACCATTCCTTTGCCCATGAAGTGACGTTTTTATTTTTCCAGTGCCAGTTTGCGGTAGAACTTGGCATGACCATCTTGCTCGGATTTTGGTTATAATAAAAAAAGAGATCAGAGGCTGTTGTGTTCAAAGATGAACAGACCAATATAGTAGCGACGACTGTAAGAATTTGAAAGTTAAAGTTTACAAGTTTGTTGTAATCATGACTCCTCCAGAACATTCTGTCTGAAACACCGGCAACTTCAAATATTCGCAGCTCTCTGCCCTGATCGTCATTTCTACACATCCAAGCCAATAAAATCTCTTGAAATATCATATCCAAACCCATCATTCGCATGGCAATTCCGAGAATTGACCGGTCGCCGCGGTCGGCTTTCCTCTCGCGCTTCAAAGCACCAGCGAATGTGAAACCAGATCTTCTCTCGTGAGATGTTTAAATGCAGAATTTTGCAGTGCTGAAGGCCATGCGCGCACGAGCCGCGGCTGTTCGCACGATGCCAAAGAGGAATGGGCTTGTGAACTGCTGAGCGGCATATCATTACCCCAAGGTGCACACGACCAATAAAAAACGGCGATGTTCAGGATTCGGGGTATGATCTCAGGGGGATCTGGGCTACAGCCCGAGCTGTATGGCGTTGTGACAAAGATAACACACGTCATAATGGTGTTTCCAGCGGTGCGGGAGGCTCAGAAGGCATCCCAGGTATGGCTTTATTGTCATCTGAGAAATCAAGTAAGCTAATATGACATCCCGAAGAGAGCGCAAGTGGTCATGGTGCCTGGTATTGCCTGCTGTGAAATGTACATGGTATACCTACAGGATTCGGTGCTGTACTTATTTTCAGCATTTGACAGAAAGCAATCACGCAGTGACGTTGCATCACAGGTGAGTTTAGCGAGACTGTAACTCACTGCAATGCCAACTTATCCTCCCGTTTGACAGCAGCAGGTTTGGGGGATACTGAATCATGGACGGAGGCCATGAGCAAGAAAGTTTCAAGCAACCAAGTGTTTACAGCAAGGCAGAAATATAGGGCTCAGCAGCCACGTGTATAGAGAGCATGTAAGTGCGTGTTCCTCGCTCCTGCTGAACAAGATACAGAATAATGGCGGTAGAAACCACTACTCACGAAGGCGAGAAGTGACGCTTAATTGCCACGAAGACTGGATAGACAGCGTAGCTCTCGTCCCCGATTCCTGTCTCCTCGTTGCTGGTTCTGGTGATGAGAATCTTTGGATGTGGGATTTGGACACAGGACAACAAGTGGGGAAGCCCTTGTTGGGTCACCATGGCACAGTTTGAACAGTGGCAGCGTCCCCCCCCCCCCCCAATGAGCGCTGGTTTGTGAGTGGAGCGTAGAACGGACGGATCCTGGTCTGGGAAATTGACGAAGCAAAGAGTACCGATCTCCTTCCATGTCTGGAGCATCGTATTCGTACCAGACAACGAGACATTTGCAAGTGCATCATCGGACGATACGGTATGTGTGTAACAGTGGGAGACGGGCGAATCAGTCCTCGGATCTCTACAAGTAGGCTGTGAGGCGTACTCGGTATCGTACTCCCCAAATTATCAACAGGAACTGACGAACACATCATTGTATGGAGTATTGCAAGTGTGTTGAAGATATGATAGCGGGCATAGTGAGTCACATATGGTCTTATATCGTCAGTGTGAGTGACACTGAAGTCTGAATCTCAGATGCTACCACCGGAGACATATCAAATAGTTTGACGCGCTTACCGACGAAACCTTCTCCGCATGCTTGCCGGTGAACTTCAAAACAAAGGTCTTCCCAAAATTACCGAACTCTTCGGATTTTTGTTATCTTTCGCCCACATCATGATTATATTATATTTGGTCTGCTCCCTCATGACGCACATAGTTACGGTTCCATCTAATTTTTCTATGATGCAGAGATGAAACCCCAAAACAAGCTCGTCAGTGTTTTCATATCGTCGTGTCGACAGAGCTTGCAAACACTTCTGTCGTATTCGCAACACGATTTCTCATCAATACCAGCGCATTCCTCGCACAGATAAAATCCACAGCCTTGGCACCTGAAAACGGTCTGCTTCACTCCTATATTTTCTTCATGCCCCTTACAGTCGTCACAGAGCCCCCCACGTGAGCACAGCTCGCAAGCTCCGACATATGAGCACGCACAGCAGAAACGCCGGCCACACCCAGGGCACGCATAGGTCGTTTCAGGGGCACATGTTGCAGCGAACAACGTGCAGTCAGCGCAAGCCCAGTATCCACCACATGGACACGTGAAATCATCTTGTGTGATACAATCAGGGCAAGTCCTGATGTGGAGCTGCCAGTAATACCAGCAATCTTCATTGCTACAACGAGCGCCATTTTTTCCGGTCGCTTTACTTTCCTCTATACAACGACTAGTCCGGCAAAATAAGGGACGCGCTGGGTGTGAGCGGGTTAAATTGGTGATCGGTGAGGAAGGTTCGATAACTGGTGAGGAAGGTTCGGTTCCGCGTGTGTCGCCATTAGAAACCGGGCGCCCGACGCACCACTCAAGCTCAGCTGAACAGAAGCAGTTTGCGCATATAGGACACTTGCCCATGCGAGGCAGAATGCCCGGACACTCCAAACATGAAGTACAGAATTTCGTCTCGTGATGATTGAAACACCGTACGATGGGGATAGTAGAGGAGGCTTGACAATTAATGTTGGCGCAGGAAATGAATCTGCACATATTGCATGATGTCTGCTTCGATGGGCAGATAGGGCAATCCAGGGTGTCATCTGGTAAGTTCTTCGCACCATCTTCGTCGATCAGACCTTTGTCGACAAGACGGCGATAAAATGTCTGTAGTCGGGAAAGAATGAAATCTGAAATATGCTTACAACTGATTAATTACTCACCTTGACTCTGCTTCGTCGCCATTCTTGTGCCATCTCAAGGCGTTGGGCTGCCTCACGTTTTCGCGTCTCATGGACTTCCCGCATCCCTTGAATAAACATCATCCTCGTGTAATCTCCGAGTTCTTTAAGGACAGACTTATGCGCTGGCCTGAGTGGAATTGTCGGAAGTCAGGGTGTGGACGAGGTAGGCAACAATGGTTGGTCCTGACTCCTGACTCGGTATGGGAATTAGGCCTCAGGAGTCAACTAGTCATTAATTGGCGGGCCACTGATGACGTGCACTGCGTGACTTTCTTCGAAGACAGTCACAGTTCATCGTGGAGACAACGCTCAGAGCAAAGCGGAGACGAGAGGGGTGTCAACAGGAAAGAAATTTGTTCTCTTATCATGTTCTCACGCTGACTGCATG